ATAACAGTTTTTACATATTGTTAACTACAAGGCACTAAGCGTTATTCTGGTTATCTGCTTTAAGTTCTAAACTTTTGAAACATTATAATATTATCCACGGTTGTTTCTGCTTAGGCAGTGTCCTGAGATTTTCTCTATTTTATCAAGGGCTAATCTGTTTTTGAGTGTGTTAGTCGTCCACATTGCCCAGGCACAGTCCGCTGGTTTCTTCAAGTGCCAGGTTCTTGTATGTACACAATGGAAGTAATAATGGTCCGTGTCGCCTTCCTCTCCGCATTCGCAGAAAGGAGTATCCCTAAGTCTGAATCTGTTTAGGTATACTGGGAATGGTTCATGACCTGTCAAGAACTGTGTTAGGCTAGCACAGTGGGTCTTTATTTCCATGTTAACTTTTGGCAGTAAGCGAAATGTCCTTCGTCCTACCTCTGCCTCTGTCCATCTACTTTGCCAATTTTGTAGCAGACTTGTCAAAGTTGTTCGCTTAATATGAGACCAAGGAAGTTTAGGTGGTCTTTCTAATATATCCGTGCAGTTGGCTGCCTGCTTGGCCAGTAGGTCAGCGGCTTCATTGCCTTGAATCCCTGTGTGAGCGGGAACCCATTTTAAAGTGGGTCTTTGCGAAATAGGCATTGTCAGAAGCTGTTTCTGAATTCTGTATACCAATGGACTCCGGCTGTTTTGACTTGCGATAGCCGCCAGACTTGATGCCGAATCACTGAGTATGGAGAATTTCTCCTGTTGACATGTGTTCGCATATCTAATTGATAGCTATCTTGAATTCGCATATCTAATTGATAGCTATCTTATAATTGATCGCATATCTAATTGCAGCACTGATAGCTAGAAGCTCTGCTTGGTATACCGAGTTGTTCGAGCCTAATTTCCTTTTCCACTCGAATGTTTCCCGAAGCTTGAGTTCAATGGTGTCACTTGAGTTCAATGGTGTCACAGAAGGTGAAGAAACGGGCACAATTACATTTAGTTCCCCAGGGAAATAGGGGCAGATTGCAATTCAATGATGTCACACGCTCGAAAATTTCCAGTCACACCAAATCTTTCAGCTGTAGGTTAGAAAACCTTATGATGACCGGAAATACACTGGTTATCATAAATTAAGGAAAAATCACAAAAATAGCGATAATTCCCTCAAAAATAATGCCAAATCGTGTAAAATTTGAATATGTTGCCAAGTAAGAGTAGCTGAGTAAAACTGCGATATGCAAATTAGTGGCGCTGCTTTCGGAATACGTCATCTGCGAGAAGCATAAAAGTCCATGTTTGAGAGCAAGCCCACATATTTCACTGTGATAGTGACATCAGAAATCTGAGATAGCCAATTCGTAACAATGACCTCGAGACATCATTTGCCTGCAGAACTGCGATGGAGAGTCATTGGGAGAGTAGAGGCAGGACAAAGTCAAATAGAAGTGGCCAGATGGCTAAATGGGAGTCCTTCTGTGGTTCATAGACTTTGGTGGCAATTTCAAACCACAGATTCGGAATCTAGGAGGTTCAGCCAAGGATGGCCAACTGCTACGACGAGCGCCGATGACCGATATTTGATATTATGTGCACGCAGGAATAGAACTGCTACTCCGACTCTTCTTAGATCCTCCTTGCTGCATCCACCGGAAGGTTCGTGTCAACGTCAGCTGTGCGTAGAAGGCTTCACGAAGGTGGTCTGTATGGCGAGGCGACCAGCCAATTGTGTGCCGCTCACGTCACGCCATAGGAAGGACCGTTTTCACTGGACACGACAACATGTCCACTGGACGCCTGATCAATGGATGGCGGTTTTCTTTACGGATGAGTCCAGGTTTAGTCTAGAAAGCGATAGTAGGCGTTATTTGATATGGAGAGAACCTGGAACCCGTTATCATCCATCAAACATCCGTGAAAGAGATGAATACGGAAGAGGCAGTGTCTGTGTTTGGGGTGGTATCTCTTTGGGTGGAAGCACAGACTTTCATGTTTTTCCAAGAGGAATCGTGAATGCTCAGATTTATAGAGATGACATCCTTGATGTTTATGTGCGCCCATATGTCGGGGCAATAGGCGATGCTTTCCTGTTACAGGACGACAACGCAAGACCACGCAGGGCTCGCAACGTAGATGATTATCTTCAACAGGAAACAAAAATGCGTATGGAGTGGCCAGCTCGATACCCGGACTTAAATCCTATCGAGCACGTTTGGGATGCTTTAGGGAGACGTCAAGCTGCTCTCAATCAGCCCCCTTAGACCCTTGTCGCGCTTGCAACTGCTTTACAAGAGCAATGGCTCTCGCTTCCAATGGAACTGATAGACCGCATAATCACACATCGCTGTATGTGCTGTGTTGCTTCTAGATGTGATCATATTCCATATTGAAGGTACTTTTCCTATAGCAAACTGACACCTTCGATTTGTTCATTTTATACATATGCTAATTTCTATACTACCATAGTTGTCTGGTAATTTCTTTTTGTGTTATTTGATACCTTACTATGTGTTGTATATTGTGAGTAAGTTTCATTAAATTCTACATGTAACTTTTTCAGTAATCGTGATTTTTGTGATTTTTTCCTTAATTTATGATAACCAGTGTAGATTAATTTAGATTTAAATTTAGATCTAAGAAGCGTGTTTTCTATTAGTTCTAAGAAGTGTGTTTCAACGGATCCATTTTGACCGCTATCGAATGCAATTTAACAATGTTTTTGCGTGACATCTGTACGTAAGGACAGAATAAAGCACTCTTTTTCCCCCAAAAAATTATAAAATTGATTTAAAATGAATTCTAAAGAGAATTTTTCCTGATGTCTGTGCGTACGTATGCATATGTATCTCGCATGATTCAAAAACGAGTATCCTCAGAACGTTGAAATTTTATATATAGGACTGCTATATCATGTAGATGTGCACCTCGTATTTTGGTTGCAATTGGCCGCACCAAAAGCATATAAATATATATATATATATATATCCACTCTGTTACTCAGCTCAGTGATCTCAGTTTCTTTATTCTTCTATGTTTTTAAATTGTGCATTTTTTGCTTTAAAAATGATTGAATTATGTTGTTCTTATCTTCCGGTTAAGGTTTACTATAACAGCCATGTTTGTTTACATTTGAAACGTAGCAGAATAGGGGATTTGTTGCCAATCTAGAGAAACTAAGCTTCGCAACAACAAAGATAACCGCTTAATTTATTATTGCGAATTAAATCATGTTTGTCCATTCTGGAATTTATTCGAAAAAACAAGTGTTTAAGATTTACTTCGTAATTTTTAATACAGATATTTTGAATTTTTATGTATTTTTGCCTTGTCACGAAAAGATAATTGAATTAACTGAATGGGAAATACTGAATAGTCTGTGAAAAACTGTTTCTTTCCCTTTTTTTTTTTTTTTTTTTTTGTTTGTTGTTGTTTGCTTTATACATCGCTTTAGATTCATTACATTATTTGAATAGAACATGTGGCAATGATTAGATAATTCTTCGGATAATGTAAATTTTGTGCATTCTGAGTTATAAAATTAATGAGATGTAACGCTGTTAAGTGAACCTAGCGCCAAAGTGTCGCTATGGTTAACAAATATAGAGAATTTTAAAGAGTGCATTTATTCTATTGTGGTTTTTATGCGCTATCGACGAAGTAAATTTAATTCAACCCAATAAGTTTAAATGAAATGCAAGAAAAAATGCGTATAATTTAATATTCCGTACAAGGAAGTCATGTGGTGGACATATCAGATTTTTATTATTGTCATTTGTTGCGTATCTTCAGCATGCGTTTCTTATCCACCTGGCTAAATGAATGGGACACTAGGAGCGCATATAAACTAAGCGTTCTGAAGATTTAAGATCGCATGAAACCTAAAAGCGCATAAAAGCCGACTATCTTAATTTTTTGGGGGGAGGGGGGTTTGATATCCGTCTTGAATTTAGAATGCTGCCAAAATTAAACAAACTATTTCATTAAATAAAATTTATTAAAACATTTTATGCAGTTAACGAATAACAATTGCTCCACTGCTTTTCTAAATAGAAATATTTACATTTGCTTTAAAAATTTATGACGAAATATGGAATTTTAGCTTTAACCTACTCCATTTCCATTTTATTATAAAGATGTATTTGCCCTCAGAAGTGAAAGGAATGCAATGCCTTCCCAACCAAAAGCATGTTCTTACAAAATTTAGAAAAGAAGAATGGTTTTTCATGAAAAATTTCGGTATTTTAAGCACATCAAGCTGTGGAGAATTCACTTGGAAGGAACACACAGAGGGAAATTGTTAGACTATGTTAATGATATATAGAAACAAGTGTCAATAAACAAATCGGACAGAATGTGAAAAATTTGATAGTATGTTTGGAAAGTGAAAAAACGGCAAATAAAGGACCATACATGAAAAAGGTCACCAAATTTCAAAAAACAGTGATGAAACAGGAAAAGTTCATACGAACATATAAATTCCAAATTTGAATTTTTAATCAATTTAGAAAATTGCTCTGAATCAATTATTCGAAAAAAGAGAATTTCGCTATATATGATAAATATTCAATTGGTTTAAAAAAAGATTAATTAAAGAATATTTACATTTCAAGCACATACATTTATTAAATGCGGAATGCATTGCAATAACAGTAATTTAAAAACAAATCCAGGCCATTCCCCAATGTAAGTAGTAGGATTATATTTAAATATTGTTAGCACCATTTGTAGCAGGAAAACATCATTCTCTATTTTACAACGAATTAAAAATTATCTAACTATAAATCGTATAAATCCATCCTATAAATTCTGCTTCTTTCCATATTAAGAAGATTGAGTATATAGCCAGTTTTAATAATAAATTCAGTGAGGTTATTTGGCCACTGAAGAAAAAATTTTTAGAAATTAAATATTTAAGTTCACTGATTATATTAAATATTTAGGTTCACTGAATTTAAAAATAAAATTTAATCAGTTGATGATTAACATGCAAATCTCTAAATTTTCAATTCGTTTGCATTTAGGTGCATGACATTTATACCCGGATGTTCGATGATTCGGAGAATGATGTGATTGGCTCAGGAAAAAATACTACTGCATCTAGGAAAAGAAAGTTATTTCCAGGTACTGGTAGGGGATCACATGCACACGTTAAAACCCGTAAATTATATATTTTGTGTTTCATATATTTTGACTAGTGAAAATTGAATAGTCATGTTCGGAAAGTAAAACAGAGTTTTAAAAAAAATGTAGTAAAAAGCTTAGTTACTTTTATCCTTAAAGCTGAATTTATTTTAAAATTCATGAATGTAATAAATGAAATCACAATATAAAAGGTGCAAGGTTGAATTACATTTATCATATTGGCAAAAGTACAAAGATTATCAAAAAGAATGTGATAAAAGACAAAAATTGTTTATTGGGCATTTATATTCATTAGATTTATATACTATTGAACATTTATATTAATTGCGCGAACGACAATAATCAAAAGCAAAAGCAAGAAATTCCAAATCATAGCATGTAAAAGTCGCTTCTAATTTTCTGGTAACAGAAAGATGTGGTGAAGTAAATGAAGTTCATGCAGCTATCAAAGTGGCATTGAGTTTCATTTGCTCTCTCCTTTCGTAGTCCCTAAAATATTCACAGATTTCTTTTTTTATGTTTTTTTATGTTTATGTTTTTATGTTATTTCCTTCTTTATTTCTTAAAACGTTTCGTAATAACAAAGCATAAATGCTTCGGAAGATTTTTAGAAGCGATTTTATTTCGGGATTTTTGTAGAATAAATATTTTGATTACATTAACATTTTTGCCGGATTTATACGTTTTCTAAGACCAGTTATAGATATGAGATCCCGTCTATTGCCATTTCTACTATATTCGAATACAGTGGATTTAAAAGCTTTTCTTTTTTACATATGTCGAAAACTGTTTGTTTTCTTGCGTGCACAGATCTCATGCAGATATTTGATCCGCACAAGATTTTCAGTTTACTGTAAGTTTTGTCTGGCACTCAAGTTAACATGTTTGCGCTTAATGAATTTATATTTTCTAGTTCCTAATAATGATAGTTTTCAACACTTATTTTTAAATAAATGTCGGAGGTTTGTATATAAGAGATATAACTCACAAAGTATGTAAAAAACAAGTAAAATAAATTGGAAGACTAATTTCCTGTATCTGTTTATTTGAATATATTGTCCCTCTACTAAATTTTGTTAGTCTAAATCTACTAAATCGAGGATCTACTGTAGCTATATTTCAAAACAAGTAATTAATCATGTAAGTTCAATAAATGAATATTACTAACTGATTTCTTTTATCCAGATATGCGGTTTTCATTTCTTCCACAGCTTACTAGCTTCCTTAAAAATGTTACAGATTGTGTGAGGTTAATACATTGAAAATTGCCTTTTCTATTTTTTGAAGTAAAACATACGAGTGAGAATAAATGTGTGATATTAAAAGGATCTACAGCCTCCTATTCATTCTGCAAGAGCAGTGATTATTATAATTCTAGTTATAGTTTGTACATTGCCATTCCACGAGCGCTAAAAATAGCATTATTATTACACTACTCGTCAAAATTAAAGTTATAATCTGAAAAAAAAAAAAAAAAAAAAAAAAAAAAAAGTGCTCATTGATGTAATTTGTGTTACAATCTTAAAAAAATATCCTCAAGTTTCCAATGGTGTCAAGTGATGTAACTATTTATGTTAAATATTTGCAACTGAAAACTGAGCTGAACTTCTGCGCATAGTTTAGAGCAGTGATTCTCAACCTTTTCGAAGCTGACGCCCCCTCAAAGAGCGAAATTTTTCAACGTCCCCCTTTGTGGAGTGTTTTGTCTTGTAATTTAGGTATAGGAAAGGGGAATTCCTGAATTATAAAAGCAAAAATTCTAAGTAATTTTTTTTCAGTAGACTTGCACATTAAATTTGGTTGGTTTAACTCGATAGTTTTGCCTGGAAGGTAATTACATTCCTTTTGTTAAAACTGAAATGACTAATGCCAGAAAAAAATTTGCTTAAGCTATGTTTTATGTTTAAAAATTCTTTATTCTTAATTAAGTAATTAGAAAAGAAGGTTAAAAATACAGTAAAAGAGTTATATCAATGAAACTATCAAGTATGATCAGTGGGATGCCTATGCTTAATGGTTCAAAGCCAGTTTCTGAACGTTCGGTTCAGTCCCCTCTTTCCAAGATTTGGAGTCGACTTCTCTTTTTTGTAATTAAATCAGTCACAGCACTGATTCTTAATTCGACGAGGTAAAAGGAAGGGAAAGCAATTAAAAATTTTTTGACAATAGTCCACAATCTTGGGTAGAGGCGACTAATGTTTGAATTAAGGCAAAATTCTGTGAGACGATCACCATTCTGGAAGCTGGCGTTCAAAGTTTCATTAGTTGAAAATTCGACCCTTTTCTCCTGAAGCTGAACCTCTGCTGTCTCAATATTCATAAAAGGGTGCATGACCACTGAGGAACTTTCAGAGACAAAATATCCTGAAAGCGCTCGGAAAAGTCTTTGTGCAAAGACTACTAAAGGTGTTGACAGTAAATAGTATATGTTTCATCCAACGGGATTCGCTGCTCTTATGCAGATCAAACAAGATTGGAAAGTGGCTGAACTCGTTGCGACCAAAATTCTGCTTTCACGAAGTGGCTTCTTTTATGAAAGCAGAAATAACAGATTTTGTTGTGATTAAAGTGAGCTCTTCATTTTGAAGCTGCAAATTAATTCCAATGAATTTTGCAAATAAATCGATCAGGTAAGCAATATCAGTCTTAAATTCTAGCAATTTTTCTTTCACAGCTACATTTTCTCTTCGAGAACTCAAGAACAGAGTCTAAAAGATTTTAGAACCTATTGAGGCAGGCGCCTTTGGAAAACCAATGAACCTCGGTGTGTAAAAGTAAGCGATTGAATTCTTCATCAATGTGCTTACACAGATGTTCGAATAATTGATCGTTGAGAGCATTACTGCACATTTTATTCACAGTAGATACGGCATATTATGATGACTGATGCAAACGGTCGTTTATTTATTTATTAGTCCAAAGGGATTTGAATCCCGAAGGACTATTAGTTTCGTTTTGGCATTTTGCGTCGGACGGATAAATGTCGGTTCACTTTTCAAACTGTTGCCATAAAATGTTAGAGTCCTGCATTATATTTGAAGAAATTAAATAATGAAAATCTGCGTAAATGTATGTATATTTCTCACGTTGTCATAAAATAACGGTACATAGAGTCATCGAATTTTGAATAACGTACTCCTCCAACGAATATGAGCATGTGGAAGACCAAATTTGAAATTTGAAATTTGTTTTATGATCGATTTCCTATTTTTTAAAACTTTGACGAATTTTTGATTAACAAACTCAAGGATTTCAAAGCGAGCAATGGCAACGTTGTGCAGAAAAAACATTTTTATCTCCAGCGCGTGAGTCTCTGTATCGGAAATTCTAAAGATATGCTCGTTTTAAAACTATTTTGCGATATTGCTGTTGCACTGGATCTTATGGTTTAAGTGCGAGGAACATGATATTTAATAAAGAAAGGTAACACACAAAATGTTAAAAAACGCCCCTTTGGACGTAATTTAAAATCTGAAACATTTCAGATTTTTTTTTAAAATTTATTTATTTATTTTGCAACTAATTGCTGTCTATGACTAACGCAGTGAACAGCTAAAATACTTGTTACCTCTTTCTTCAAAAGGCCGATGATCATGATGACGGCCCATCATTGCAAGATCTCCATCGGTGGCAAGAGACATAATGTTCGCTAAAAGAATATTTTTTTCATTAAAATAATCCTTGACAATATAAAAATAGATTCACCTATAGTACTTGCAATCAATTTTTTTGCAAAAAGCATCACTTGAATAATTTTTCCTTCCTTCACATACCGGACACACGCTAACAGTAAAGCCTGGCAAGATTGATTCATCAGCCTGAACAGAAAATTCGGTGGGTATCAAATGTTTGCAAAACGAAGCCTCAAAATTTTCCATGTCATTATACATGTCATAAATACGTCGTCTCACTCTATCATTGCTTAATAACCATTTTTTTAGACATGGACATTTTTTATAACATTGGATGCTGCTGGATGGTTTAAAACCGTTTCTAATACTTCCTTGATCAACCGGCAATATCAATTCTTCGCCCATCGTATGAGCCTTTCCCCGATTTAGCAGTTGATGTTGATGTATTATAAGAGGCTATCAACCCATCGTCGCACTTTTTTGGTGAGGTTGCTAGTAACCCTGAGACAGACGGTCCTCCAGAAACTTGTCTGTGATGTTCGGGAAAAACTACAAATCTTTATGTGTTTGTCAGGATTAATTTTTTGCAGCTTTGTCTCACCATTCTTAGAATTACACGAAGGAAGCCGTCGCGTAAGTTCATTTATTGCTGGTACAAATGGTAAAAATTTAATAAATATTTTGAAGAGTTTTTAAATTAAGTTCGAATGCCAAAACATGCTCATCGCCCCCCTGCAGCCCAAAACAAATTCATTGCCCCTTAGGACCCTTCCACTGTCTCCTGGGGGGGGCGGTATCGTCCCCGTTGAGAACCATCGGTTTAGATCATGAAATAACCAATTAGACAACTGACAAGATGTTGCATGCTATGCAGGCATATTGGATTTCAAGTGCGTACTGTTGTTTATAAAGTTAATATTTTTTATGAGAGTGGTCAATATTCATTAACTGGACTATGGGCAAAGCTAGAGCTTAATTATAAAGGAGACTCGAGGGAGGGGCAAACATAAATGGAGGTTAAGACACAATAACACGCCGAATAAATACTAATTCAGAAGTCAAACAACAAAAATCAGCGTTATATTTACAAAATTTTCACAGGACTAGTTTCGATGGTTTTACCGAACCATCATCTTCAGCTGCAAAACCGCAAATGAACAAGATAGGAAATAATGTTTAGATAAGATAAGAAAGCCTGGACAAGAATAAGCAAGTGGCGCCATCTGTTGGCGAAACCAGAACTAAAACATAATTTCCCTAAAAGCCGAAGGCAAATTTGGATTGGAATTAGGATCGTTAACTAGAACAGAAAGATTTTTATTAATGAATGTGAAATGCCTCTAGAAAATCCAGTTCTCCAATGGAAGATGTTTTTTGAATAATTTTGGCAGCAGAAAAATTGAAAGTGTGATTTTCAGGACCAACAATGTTGAGCAAACAGAAGACTTCTGTGTTTCCTTTTTTCTAACATATGCCTCATGTTCTTTGACGCGAAATTTTAAGGCTCTCTTAGTTTGGCCAATGTAAATTAAACCACACTGGCAAGGAATCCTATAAAATACCCCAGAATTCATATCCGGAATGGGGTCCTTGAGTATAGAAGTTGGAATTTTATTGATGGGAGAGTAAACAACCCGAAAGTTAAATTTCTGCAAAATATGTGCAACTTTATAGCTAATTGATGGAAAGAAGGGAATGACAACAGAATTTTTATAATCTCCTAAAATAAGAGTGTGGCTTTTAGTGTGTTGAGATGAGAATTTTTTAACTGCTTGATTAATAATGTTGGGTGAAAAGCCCCTGTCAATAGCTATTGCTTATAAATAATTTAGTTCTTCATCAAGGGCTAGTTTGGAGGAGCAAACTTGAAGAGCACGGAAAACATAGGAATAAAATGAAGCTAACTTTTGTTTAGTCGGATGACATGATTTAAAGTGTGGTGGAAGGCAAACCGATGAAGGTTTACGGTAAACCGTAGTACTGAAGTTGGATGTGTTACGTGTGACCAGAATGTCGAGAAACGGAAGAGAATTGCAAGTCTCAAGTTCAAAAGTGAACTGAATAGCAGGATCAATAGAATTCATTGTTGAAAGAACTTTATTTAAATCATCTTTATTACCTTCAAACAGGGTAAAAGTATCGTCTACGTAGCGGAACCATGCCGGGAAGTTTAAAGTTTCAAACAATTTTGATTCATAATAATGCATGTAAATATCAGCCAGGATGGGACTGAGGGGGCTTCCCATGGCTAATCCCTCAGTTTGCTTGTAATATTTATTTTGGAAAACAAAATGTGTTTGTTTCAAACAGAGTTGAGTGAGAGAAATTAGCTCATCAATTTCGATGCAAGAGAAATGAAATTCGCGAAGTCTGGTTTCTAGACATCTTAATGCACCCTCCACTGGGACATTGGTGAATAATGATTTTACATCAAAAGAAACCATGAGTAAATTACTAGGAGAAATGTTTTTAACCTTTTTTACAAACTCTATTGAATTTTTTATGGTGTAAATGTTATTGTCTAATAGAGTGGAAAATCTAGAAACTAAATATTTAGCTAATGGATACGAGGCAGTACCTAAATTTGATACAATAGGGCGGAAAGGAATACCAATTTTATGAATTTTGGGAAGAGCATATAATCTGGCACAATTCGCAACAGATGGGATAAGCGAATGTTTTAAGTTGCTTGAAATGATTTGCGAAGATTTGATCGCAGTTTTTATTTTGGATAAGTCGGAAGGTGAAGGATCTTTAGGGATCGGATTATATGGTCCTTCGTTTAAGAGTTTAGTGACACCATCGATGTAAGTGTTCTTATCCATGACGACTATCTGGCCACCTTTGTCGGCCTTTGAAATGACAATATCCGGGTTAGAATGAATCTCGCGCATTGTAGCTCTTTCTCTCGCAGTTAGATTTGGTTTCAAAGGTTTATTATTGAATTTCACATTATGAGCGATAAGATGCCTAATCATTTCTTTCTTTCTGTGAATCTGAAACTTTACTGAACTTGAAAGCTTTTTCGATAGGAGCCAAAATCTTTGGAATCGAGGGTTTACAGGTTTGTGAGAAGTTAAAATTATATTTTAGAATTCTCTCTTGTTCTTCTGAAAGACTAACATTAGAAATATTAACTACTGGCTTGATGTTTACAATGGGAAGATTTTTTGAACTACTTGAACTGGAAGACTGTAAAAGAAGTTTTTCGAATTTAACTGCAAGGGTGTTTTTATGACGGTTAACTTTAACTGTTAAACCATGAAGCCAATGATTTGTATCCTCTCATTTCCTCCTTGTAAAGGGACTCGTTTAAGGTGGTATCATCATCATGTACAATGGAGCAAGAGGTAATGGGACTTTATTCTGTTGACTGACGAGTCCCGAACTAGATGTATTTTGACCTAAAGGAACATGCATTTTGCTTTCTCTAGTTCATGACATATTACGTTTTCATGAAAGCATTTTATGGTGTAGGCGAAATCATTAAAAAAGGCGTCCTCGAGCTTCATATTTTTAATGTAGACCTGTAACTGGTCACAAATATATAGACGGGGACTTGGAACCTCAAATAAGGCTTACTACTGGCGTACAGTGTTTGCTGATTGACGACAATGCTCGACCGCATTGAACTTTTCTGACATCCGAATGCTTGGAAAGAGAAGGTAATATTTCAATGGATTGGCCACTTGTTCACTAGACTTGAATCTAACTGAGCATGTATGAGGTGCTTTTAATCTTCAAATTGCAGTGTGCTAATGCCTCTCCAGATCCTCCTGGATCTGAAAAATACAATTTCAGAAGAATAGAATGCCATTTCGCAAGATTTGACCAACAGTTTGGTAAATTCTACTAAATCAAAAGCTGAGGTTTTCATATATGTCAAATGTTACCATACTTCATAACAAAAAAGATTTGTTGTAAAACAACTAACATTATTTCCCCATCATTTTTAAATTTTCAAAAATCTGATTTTAAATTTTGTATTTTGAGATCAATCAACTGGCGACATGGTAATTTATGTTAAATAATGCTTTTTTACAAATTGCTTTTAGTCTTTTTATAATCAGTAAGAATAGTTAAGTTTTAATTCTGTTCAATGTCTTTTTTGAAGGACAGTGTATTCTTATTGTTATTATTATAACCATCCCTTATTTTCAGACAGTGATAGGATATTGAAGTTCTCCATTTTGTTTGCTAAAACCTCTTTTGTAACTAGAGTATATCACAGAAATCTGTCCCTTTCAAAATTTATTTTTGATATTTTTATGAATTAGAGAAAAAGAAGCTTCATTATTTAATTTTAATCTATAGTATTTCCATTTACTTTTTGCCTTCAGGCCGAAAATGTGAGATTGAAGCTATTCAAATCATGCACCGAAATTGTTTGTGTCGCAAACCAAGAAAACGGTGCGTCGAGATCAAACCCCCAAGGAATGACATTGTATCCAGCATGCCCGCTTGTGTCATAGTGGAGCGTTGCGAGGGTGTTTGTCCATCTTCAACCGAATGCCTTCCTTCTGCAGTGGAGAACATTTCTGTGCCAGTAAGTTTTATTTTGTATTTTTCGCGGGAACATGGAGTCTCTTCTTGCTGCTAACACTTTTCTGGAAGTGCAGTGAAAGTTTATATCTCTTCCAATCAGAATAGAAATGTCAATTAATTGATGCGAACCTAGAATTCTCATTAAAAAGGGTACACATTATAAGTTAGATCAACATAATTTTCTCACAATATCGAAGAATTCATCAACACATGAATTCGTCATCTTTTGCCAACTATGTCATAATTTGTAGTATTTCCCGTGCATATACAACTGTTAGTTTTATATGGCCATGCTATCCGAATTAACATGCCAAACTCTTGTCGCATTTTCAACCTCAAGTTTTTTAGGATTATATAAGTATATATGGAATCGTTCAGACAAAGGTATAACTACCACAGTTGTCCTAGTCACAAGGTGAAAAAAGAATCATAACCTCCGTTTACACCTGTGGAGCAGGGTTTAAATTGTAGTCAATCAGGGAAAGTAGAGTAAGAGTACATGTGCAGTTGACTCAGTAAAATTCGTTAACCGGATTTCTGTTCGAGTTTCTTTTGCTCTAATTTGTCAGTTCTTATACCAAGTGTCATAAAAATCGAACAAATTCTTAAAGCAGTTTTTGTTACTTATAGAGTATTTACACAAGGGTTTCACGCCCACAAGCGATATAAGCTGGACTTCGTTGTTAAGCAACCAGACCTTGCTACATCATAGAAACTGGTGCAAAAATTTTGTCTAAATCTTCTAACTGTTCAACTTTGTGCCATCGGATATAAGAACTGACTAATCACAGCGAAGCAAGCACAAGCTGACATTCACTCTTTCAGTTCGCTGAGTCCAGCTGTACTTTCATGCATGCGCAGCTTTACCTTCCCCGATAGGCTACGGCTTAAACCCTGTTCAATAAATATGGTAGCGTTATTAATGTCCTTTACACTTTAGGACTATGACAATGATTGCTACTAGATCCTCGTGTAAACGCTCCTCTATAGTCTACATATTTTTTATGAAAAATCTGCACGGGCATTGAGAAATTTTAAAGGCATATATTTTCGAGGTATTTATACCAAAATTGAAAATGGAAAAACCTTTTTGAGATATTTTCACGAGGAATTGTTTATTACAGTTATTGAATGGTTAATTCTGATTTCTCGATTTATGAATATATTTTACATAGGTGTAATAAATAAGCTGTAGCTGTAATAGACTCTTCCGTGGGTCCACCAACGGGCTCCACCATCAAGCTGCGGGTGGCTTTTCCACTTTGGGGGCTGAGCAGATCTTGGTGGTACATTGCTGTTTTCTCTCACAATACAGTACCCGGTAGTGGATACTCTATCCTGGCTGGCGATGCTCGTAATAAGGTCGTCTTGTCGGGGCAGGTGTAGGTGAGTGTCACCACGGAGGTAGGAAGTAAGACCTCCATGAGTGTCACAATCCGGTGATAAGGTTGTTGTTCCCTTGGGACTGGTTAATTCCATACCTATGTAGCTGTATGCTTTTTAGATCGGAGTTAACTGTTGCTTAGACGGAAATACACTGGTGTGCAAAAATTAAGGACGAAGTCGAAAAATTAGCATATCAGCTGAACGAAGAGGCAGAGCGGACAGAAAGACCAATCAGGAGATTAAGTAAGGTGATGTGCGGTAGCACATGCGCAGATATGCAGGTAGATGTAATGGGGGAGTGTCTGAGTAGTATAAAGCATGTTGTCGGTGTAAGATCAGTATTTCTGGCAAAGAGATTGCATGCCGTATAGCAGTTAAAATCACACCGAGTTGCTGCCTCAGCGAGAAATGGCGAATAATCAATCTGTTAGACGACATCTGGATGCTTTTACCCGAGGTCGAATCATTGGGAAGTTGGAGGAAGGCCGCAGTGTGACAAGTGTGGCTGCAGAGTTCGGAATTGCTCACAGCATCGTTTCACGACTTTGGAGACAATTTCAAACTACAGGAACAGCTATCCGGGGGTTTAGTAGTGGTCGTCCACGAGGAACCACACCCGCAGATGACCGGTATATTGCCTTACAGGCCAGAAGAAACAGGCGGCAGACAGCGGGAGAAATCGCTAGACACACGACACAGGCGACTGGACGACCGATATCGCGTTTTACCGTGGCCAGAAGACTGCACGGTGGTGGTCTGTTTGCACGACGCCCTGTACGGTGTGTACCTCTAACGCCTGCCCATCGGAGAAGGCGTTCTCTGTGGTGCCGGGAACACCGGAATTGGAGAGACAATGAATGGGGACGAGTACTCTTTACAGATGAGAGCAGATTCAGTCTGAGTAGCGATTCTCATCGCATATTCATCTGGAGAGAGCGGGGAAGCCGCAATCATCCCTCGAACGTCATTGAAAGGGACAGGTATGGAGGTGGTGTTCTCGTTTGGGGAGTTATCATGCTTGGTAGTCGTACAGACCTTCGCATCTTCGACGCAGGTCACGGGACTCGTTATTGTAACGAGTCAACGGGACCCGTTATTGTAACGAGATTCTTCTTCCATATGTGCGTCTTTTTAGAGGCGCTATGGGTCCGCAGTTCCTTTTCATGGACGACAATGCACCATGTCATCGCACAGTAGCTGCCGAACAGCTCTTAGAGAGTGAGTATATTGAACGTATGGATTGGCCGGCACGATCTCCGGATCTCAATCCCATCGAGCATGTATGGGATTTTCTAGGCAGACGCTTGGCAGCTCGTACCTTACCACCAGTAACGATTCCGGAGCTTCGATTGGCGCTGCAAGACGAATGGGCAGCAAGGCCTCAACAATTCATTGAGACCCTCATTCTCAGCATGGGCAGACGCTGTGAAACCTGCCTAGCAGTCAGGGGAGATCATATCCCCTATTAAAGACCGGATGTTTCTTGCTGGACACCCATCACGGGGATGTTTCGGCCTTCAGTCGCATTGCGCTCCATGCTACTTTTTCAATAAAGCTTCTTTTTATCCCTCTGATTTCTCTTTTAGTAAGTGTTGCTTACATTACTCATGTCCTTACGTATTGGGGATCTTATGGTATTAAATGTGTTGATTTGGAAAGCTTTTGTACAAAGTTATATTGAAAATACCGTCTCGTCCTTAATTTTTGCACACCAGTGTAGGAAACTTGTAGATAAATGTAACCTAATGTCTAAGGGAATGAGTACCTTTCTAGAAGGCTGTTTAAGAGAAACTGGCTTGCATCCAAATAACACATGGGAAAAGCCACGAAAAAGCCTATGTAGCCAGCCCGTTCGCCTGCCATTGAGACCAGGTCAAACTCCCAGTGTTCAGGGACTTTACAGCTCAGCTGATGGTGGCCTTTACATTTGGAATGTTAATGGAGGATCGCACATTGAGTTAGAAAAGAGAATATCTTTATTGTGCAAGTTAAAAGAGGAACCAATACTCAATAGTTAAGATACTGGGAATTTAGAAATAGACAGAATATATATATATATATATAATAATTTTATTCATTGTAGTAGGCTATGAATACCTGTGATCGGATTACGGTGGTATCATTTTGCTATTTTGTTATCCGATTGAAAGTGAAAGAGTTGCATTTTAAGAGATATAGGCATTTTATCATTGAAAAAATATTTGTATTATTACTTTCGGAAATGCTGTTTACGAGATACTGAAAGCGTTAATTTAAAGACTGCAGCAAAGGAAAAAAAAAAGGAGCTCTCTCCTTTTTTTTTTTTTTTTTTTTTTTTTGACTTGGTGATATTTTAAAACGTTTTTACTTAGATATATCTTATTTACCTATTCGTTAGTCAACGTGTTTGAGTCAAATCTTGAAGAAATCAGTTTTTAATTCCATTCTACCAAGAAAATTTCTTTGAAATTTTACACGTAAATGTGTGTTCGATGATCTCTCTTTCTCTCTTTTGTATATTAAATTCGATTTAAGTTTTGTTTTTTACTACAGTTTAAATTTTGTTTTTTACATTTCAGTAAAATGGATTTTTACAGATTTTTCATGTGTTTTTACTTAACGAGGAATGTAATCATCTCAAAATTTCGATCTTTGGATCAACAGATAACTGAAAACATAATATTTCAATTGAAGTTTCTTTTCAATCTTCAATTCAATTTATCGAATTTTGGTTGTTTTTTTAAAAAATTATCATTTTTTTCTATTTTTAATGAAATAACTCTTTTTGAATCAAAGATTTAGTCTGTCACTGTTAGGTGTGCCACGATAACTGATAAAGATGAAACCATACTTCTACGTCAAACAATATTCGATTGAATTAAATATAATCTTACACAAACAGTATGATCGGGAAACTGTGATAGAAAAACAACTCCATGCTCTTCGTTGCTCTGCTGATTAGAAGGGATAATTTTCCCATGTTCAGAGACAAATATTTTTTGTCTTTATTATATTTCGTCACTTTTTTGAACAAAGAAGTATAAAATAAAACACACATAAAATTTTTTCTAAGTTACGCGGCTTCAGTTAAATGCACAAAAAGATTATAAAATACAAATAAATAAACTTTATCTCGATATACTTGGCTATCAGTACGGATTTAAATATAAAAGCCATAGAAGAATTATATTGGGTAGCGGCATATAAAGAGAATTTTAAGGCAAGAAATGATATGCAATAGAACATCGATCGGTTTTTCCCGCAGCTATCGTTTTATTCTATCATTTTTTTTTTTTTTTTTTTTTTTTGTCTCAAATGAAGTTCTATATAAATAGCATTCCCGTATCCATCATTCTCCAAATTATCTTTTTACCGTATTAATTACTTTATAAAGCACACTCTTGGTTAGTTTGTTTCCACATGGAATGTTCGGAAGGGAGAATTTATAGCAGAGTATATATATTATTTGCATTATCTTTCCTTTGGACTCTAAATTTGGCAACGCAGTAATGATTCGCATTTAACAGGGAGGTAAAAGGTGAAAATATTTGAAATTTTTAAAAAAAAAATTGAAAATTTGAAAAAGTCTCGAAAAGTTATATCTTCTATTAATATGAACTATTCATTCAAAAATATCCATACAACATTCTTGGTTATAAAGCATGTAATATAGACATATTGAAAATAATAAATATTATTTATTTACTGTAAAAGTTACTTATTTACAACAGTTTCTTAATCGCTTTCTCGCCATCGTTTTTACCTTTTCATCTTGCTAAGAAATAGTGGTTAAAGGTACCACTGTATATAAAATGATTTCATTCGATTAATTTAAATTTGTCTTTGACAATTTTATATATACTCATCACTTTGAGCTGTCATAAGGTTTTATTTTTTAATCCCATCTGACCAAGAATATTGCGATACTTAAAAAAAATTTATTTTATACTTTTTAGGGCGTCTAACTGAAACCATGTACCACAAGTGAAGTATTTATACGTATATTTCATGAACTATGATGATTGATTAGGAAGAGTCTTTTAAATCGCGTATTTTGTGTACAAGGTAATTTACATTGCTTTCTCATGCATCCTATTTCCATTTAACTGAAACTGCGCCATTCCTTGCGCAGTTGCGCAGCTGTGTCTGGTGGAGTTCTATTCCTTTCATGAGGCAGAAAACCGTTTTCCAATATTTTCCAATTTGCGATTGAGCTAACTTTCCTAGGAAAGCGATTGATTTAATATCTCACTTTGTTTGTGTTTTCGGTTTCATCCACAGAACGACAATAAAAATCTGCACTTGCGGCAGTGAAAGCAGTTTTCACTATGTAAGAGACAGTCTAATATTTGCTATTGTAACGGCTTCTAATCTTTTCAGAACTATATATCATTTTTCCGACTGCAAATATATTCTGGATTAGAATTCTATATGCCCATCAGCAACCGAGTGATAAAATCGTTGAATGTTGGTACTTTGATGTAGATTTAATTTCAGAGAAAAAAACTACTGGCAATATGGGCGTTTTTTATCTTCGCAATTTGTAAGGTAGATACGAGCTAGTTTCTCTTAGAAAGTCCTCTTATTTTAGGCAGATAGACGGCGCTGAATCACGATCTTGGGAAAGATATGACTTTCCAAGCTTATGCGGATGATTTTATAATAATTTATTAGGTGGCAATACTACTGAGCAAAAATTTAAGCATGCATTACGTAAGCTGGAAGCATGGAGGAGAAAATACAAGCTAAATTTCAGCGGAGAGAATAATGCGACCCAGACGGTATACTCGAAAGAAAGACGGCAAACCGAAGGGCCTGGTTTCGAATCCCGGAGAAGGCATGGTTGCAACTGTCCGTCCCTTCATAGGAGGCGAAGGTGGCCCACCTATTAGGTGCTTCCATAATAAAGAGACCAACACATCTGGCCTTGTATAGATTAATGGACTGTGTTACACTGTAACTGTTCACAATCTGCCATTGGAAAAAAATAACATAATTGCGTTCCTAAAAGGATTAAAACTGGTTCACGACTCACCAAGACTCAAATGAATGGATAATCTGATTCGTAACAAGAACGCTATGAACAACTTAAGATTTTTGCTAGACAAGAAGCTGACAAAAGGGCAACATCTTAGCGAAATGTGAGATTAATTAATTAAATTTAAGCTTTGGTAAACAGCTTAAATGCTTTATATTCTATAAAGATTATGGGCCTAAAGATTATGAAAGAGCAATAGAAAGATTAATCCTCTATGGCTGCTCGATTTCCTGGCACTACAGTGGTACAGTAAGGGTAACGAATAAGCTGATGTAGATTCAAAGGGGATCGTACTTCCATGTAGTATTCCGTACTACATCCACTTCAGCACAACAAGTAGTGGTGGGTGCCTGCCATTTGATCTGAAGACAGATCAAGTGAATGAAGTCTACAGGCTCAGCCATAGCGGTGAAGATATCATTCGAGAGGATAAGTGAATTTCAAAAACAGAAATTGAGGAGGAGCTAGGCAGGATGAAGACACATCCTGCTTAAACTGCAGAATTGACACGACAGAAGAATCTCCCAAGAGAAAGTAATTTGAAAATCTTAACTGACGGTTTTAAAGCTGAATATCGGGTTAGAGAAGCATTGTCGTCTTCAGCAATGGGTAGGCCATACAGGTGCAAAAAGTACGATTAATATAAGTTCAGTCTTCTAAATGGAAGCAGCAGCATTACGGACTGTCTTCATGTGGGTAAACGATTCCCTAAAAGGAAAAAACAGAACAATCATATTAGCATAAGCATCCTACGAGCGCTAAATTGCAGAACGACGACGTTCCTATCATTGAGAGGAGGCTCTGACTATTCACACTGAACTCGATAAGAGAGCACACTGACATCGACAGAAACGATAGCGGATCAAGCAGCCAAGGAGACCCTTAAGAAAGAAGAAATTGACAATCAATTTTCGATATCGAAGTCGGTTGCGAAGAGAAAGATTATCGAACGTGTTCTTGAATCATGCCATATAAGATGGGAGGAAGCTGATTCTGGACTACGAGACTACGAGTCCTTTCCGAAGGAAACCTTTAAGAGATTGAAGATGGATTCTCTGCTATCCAACTCATCACAAATCACTGAAAATTTCCGTCGTACTTTAAGTATTTTCTCAAAAATAATGTGAAAAAGCGTTTTCTTAAAAGGAGAGGGGCTAACGCAGAAACTGCGGACGCAAGCAGCTTTTGTTCCACTGCCTACTAGTTTCAACCATTAGAAAGGAATATCTTCCAAGACTTGCATCAACCATTGCAAACACAGATTTGTTTTACAATCTAAGGTGTACAGCTGGTCTACAGGAGATCATTAAGTTCATTATAAAAAATGAGGAGCTAATCATAGTGGAGATATGAGTAGTCTATACTTCTGTATAACCAAATTGAAAATGTCTCTCTGGTTACACGAACAGATATTAATATAGTATTTTTTTATCATAAAAGATAATATTTATGTTTATAATTATAAAAGACAGTATATGTAGATATTGATAAAAAGGATGATTCAGATTACAAACATATGAAAACGAAAAAGGAGGACGTAAACTCTATAGCATCATTTAATACAGTGGAATACAACAAATACGCTTCTTAAATATTTATGATTTTCTGTTTTCAACCTTATTTTATTAAAAGAGAGCGTAGTATAGCATACAAAATCTGTGTTAATTGACTGTTTATATGTTGTACTAGAAGGATTTGTGGTCTACATTGGGTAATATTAATAGGTAACTTTCTTCAGTAGTAGCTATAGTAAGTATCCTTGCTCATTAATGTTTTGTTAATGGGGTGATTTTTTTTTTTTTTTTTTTTTTTTTCATATGTAAATGCTATTTCTCGCATTATTTTCTCTTTCTTATTAATATATTCAAAGAAAATGAATCATAAGTTTAAGTAATAATTGATTCAAATTAATAAGTTCAGGATTTTCCCTGTTAAAGCAGCCACCGCGTTTAAACGCCAAAACCGACCAACTTCATTGCAAAAGTTATAAGGCGTATATTTCAGAGCTTGCCGAAGGCTTAAACAATAGCTGTTTTAGCAAGCAAGTATCATAATTTTATATATTCCTAAATATTTCATAGACACACGAGCTTGAAAGAGAAACAGGAATCCGAGCGGAATTCTTGTTTCTGTCAATGATCATCAAATTGACAATTTTGACAACATTTGCGAAGAATTGATGTAAACTGGTTGTTTACTCAAAACATTTTAGTTTTTTCAAGTAAACAAAAACTTCTATTCTCATAATATCCAAAGTGAAATTGCAGTAAAATAATAAGTAACAAATTATTTTAAAAGAGTCTTGAGTTCAAAAGCTCGGAATACTTCACGAAAACGTATGCCAACCAAAATACTGTTAGACTTCCTTTTTTTATAATGCCTATGAGAAATTTCACGACTAAAGTCCGTGAAGTGGAAAGCTAAGATGGTAAAAAAATACAAATATAATCATAAACATTAAATCTTAGAATATAAGTCATTATTTTTATAACGATGCCTTTTCCCAAGAAAAATTGTAAGAAGACAGAAATATTTTGCTTTTATCACGTGAGCAAAGCATGTTTAATTTCTCGTGATATTCAGTTGAAAAAAAAAATAGAATTCAATATTTAGAAATTATTTTAGCTGATATTTATCCTGCTATAGATATTTTATGATGCCATCTGCTATAGGTATAGACTTAGGAACTGGAAATACTTGTGTTGGCGTATACTTAAATGGAAGCGTTCATATTCTCGAAAATGAACAATGCTTCAGGATTACGCCAAGTTTCGTGGCATTTACAAATAGAGGACGACTAATTGGGCAATCTGCTAGAGCTCAGTCACCAATGAACCCGGAAAATACCATTTCCAGTATCAAGAGATTAATGGGTAGGAGATATGACTGTCAACATGTACAACAGGACATCAAAATGTGGCCGTTCAAAGTGTTGAATGACAATGAGAAACCAAGAATTGAGGTTACTTATAAAAATGAGAAGAAAATATTTGATCCGGAAGAAATAAGTGCTATGATTCTAAGCAAAATGAAGGAAATTGCCCAGATTTACCTTGGAACTCAAATTACAAGTGCTGTTATTACAGTTCCTGCTTATTTTAATGATGCCCAAAGACAAGCAACAAAAGATGCGGGTATCATAGCTGGATTTGAAGTTCTCCGGATTTTAAATGAGCCAATCGCGGCTGCTATTGCATATGGTTTGCATAAAGATATCGAAGAAGAAAAGACAGTATTTTTGTTAGATATGGGGAGTGGCACTTTAGATGTATCTGTTTTAAATATAAAACAAGGTCCTGAATTTGAAGTCAAGGCTACAGTAGGAGACACTCATTTCGGTGGAGTAGATATAGACAATAGACTTGTAACACATTTTGTTGAAATTTTCAAACGAGAGCATAACAGAGATTTGAGAGATTGTTTGCGTGCAATCATGCGACTCAATTTAGCATGTAGCGAAGCTAAGATCACCTTAAGTACAGCGAAAGAGACCAGTATAGAAATTGATTCTCTTTTCGATAACATTGATTTTAAGTCGAAACTTACAAGATCAGAATTCGAGGAGATATGTCAGCCACTCTTTTGTCAAATTAAGAAACATCTTGAACATGCACTGCTAGAAGCAAAAAAAGAAAAGGCTGACATCCAGGACATTGTTTTGGTAGGTGGCTGCACCAGAATTCCAAAAGTTCGCAGCATAATTCAGGATTTTTTTGAGAGAGATGATTTTTGCTCTTTTATCAATCCCGACGAAGCGGTTGCAGTAGGAGCAGCAGTAGAAGCTGCTATACTTTCTGGCGAAACTGATGAAAGAATTGCAGGTGTCCTACTCAGGAATGTGACACCTTTGTCTATTGGTATAGAAACTTCAGGAGGTGTAATGTACAAAGTAATAGAAAAAAATACTTCTATTCCATGTAGTATAACACATACATTTACCACTTACACGGATAATCAACCAGGTGTTACCATTCAAGTCTTCGAAGGCGAGAGTTCTATGACAAAAGACAATAACCTTTTAGGACAGTTTGATTTGTTCGGCATTCCCCCTCTTCCCAAAGGTGTACCGCAAATTGAGGTGACATTCGAAATTGATTTCGACGGTCTTCTAACAATCTCTGCTGTTGAAAAGGATACCATGAAAGGGAAAAGTGTGAAAATTAGAACCCAGAAAGGAGGGTTACTGCCTCAAGAAATTGAACAGAAAGTTAAAGAAGCTAAAAAGTTTGAAAAAGAAGACAATGTTAGAAAAGAAAGCATTTTAGAACTCAATGCACTGCAAGCTTATCTGTATTCCATTCGAGAAACCTGTGCAAATACATCATCTGAGGATTTGTCAGAGGAGGAGAAAGAATCTGTTCAAAGCATCTGTAATGATATCCTTCAATGGCTAGATGAAAATCCTTTCGCGTTGACAGAGGAAGTAACAGAAAAGAAGATGAATGCAATCCGACTTCTTGAACCGTTTCTAGATACATTATCCAAAAGCAAAGGCAGCTAACTCTGATGTTCCAATAAAAAATGAATCGAATGATTTTAACTGCGAACTTGAATAGTTACTTTGGTTGGTCAGTTGGGAGCTATGAGGCTGACTTTAATAATTATTGTTGACATCTAGACATTATTGGCGACAGGTTTTTCTCTTTAAATTTTCAAGCTATCTATCTTATTTTATTGATCATCAGCTTTATAATTATCACCAAATATATATTTCGCCAAAAAAATTGCCAAACTTTCCAGAGATCAAATTTAATGAATATATTAACTTATTAGACTTTTGTGTTTATAAATATTTCAACAGAAGTTAAGTTTTTATTTTCAGCAAACCGACTTCTGGAATTCTTAAATAGAAGTTTTCTAAACAATGAGTCGTGCCAGTATTTATCATTAAATGCATGTGTTATTAAATATTAAAATATGAAATGAGTTTTGAATGCTGACTTCCTTATGCTGAATGAGATTTCGTGAGGTATGGCAGGAAACTTGCACGCTTGGAGATCTGATTGGTCGTCAATATGCTCCTGCGAGTACTACGCGGGCTGCCTTGTTCTACGTAACATGACTTAAGTCAACCGCCTTCCCAGATTAGGGCCAATGAAGTTTCGTCCCAAGGTATCTCCCATCTGGGCAAGCGAAACCGCCAGGCTCGTGTTTCTATCTCCCGATGCCGAGACTGCCAAAATACCGATCCGAGTCAGTACAATAAACGACTGTCAGGGGGTTTCAATATAATAAGAAAAATAGCATAACATATCTAAACTTCAAAGTAAGTTATATCATTCGCATTTCTATTTGATGATTATCAAAATATTTTAATTGATTAATGAATTAATTAATTAATTTATAAATTAAATGGTAAGATCAGAATTGTAGAGTTTGAAAACAGAAGCACGGCATGTAAAAATTTTAAAAAACAATTTCACTTATTTACTTCACTGTCATTCAATTTGTTTTTTTCCTCCAGCACATACAGTGGGTACAAAAAGTATTTGCACACATACATTTTTGCTCACAATTTATAAGAAAATGCATTAAGAAATACAAAAATTGGCATTTTAAAAAATAGAATAAGCTTATTCATTTAAATTAATTACAAAAAATACAATAATATTAATAAAAACATTTTTTGCAACAATATTAAAATAGCTTATGTCAAAAAAAGTATTTGCGCACTCAATTCAACTTTAACAAATTTGCATTTCTATGGTATTATTTGACAGTCATCCCGCAGTAAATAACATACGTAAGACGACTATAAAAGGAGGTTTTGTCGAAACGTTATCAGTTGATTGTCGATTTCAAATTGTAATGGCACCTAAGACATCTGAATTGCCGATTTCGTTGCGAGAAAAAATTGTTTCTCTACGTGAAAATGGCCTAAGTTATCGAGAAATAGGTAAAAAAGTAAATGTTTGCTTCTCTACTGTTCGGTATATTATAAAACGTCATAAAGAAAGAGGATCTACATCAAATAACTTGCGCTCTGGACGCCCAAAGAAACTTTCACTGCGAATAAAGCGAAAAATCATAAGAGAAGCATCGAAAAATCCATTTGTTAGTGCAATTACTTTAGCCAATGATGTCGCTTCAACATCTGGAGTTCAAATCTGTGCCCAAAGTGTTCGAAATGTCCTGCACGATGCACACATTTATGGGAGATCTCCAAGGAAAAAACCTCTCATAACTGAACGAAATAGACTGAAGAGACTTGAATTCGCTAAGGAATATATCAATAAGCCAATTGATTTCTGGAAAAATGTCATATTCTCCGACGAGAGTAAGTTCAATATCTTTAAATCAGATGGCAGGAAATTAGTTTGGAGAAAACCTTGTACTGCTTTTCATACCAAAAATGTGTTACCTACAGTTAAACATGGAGGAGGTTCTGTTATGATTTGGGGGTGCATGGCTAGCAAAGGAGTTGGTAATTTGTGTTTCATTGATGGGAATATGACAGCTCGAACCTATATTGATGTGTTGCGAGATAACTTGCCACAAAGTGCAATAAAATTGGTTATAGGAAATTGTACTATTTTCAGCAAGACAATGATCCCAAGCACACCGCCGGTATAACACGTATGTGGTTGCTTTATAATGTACCCAGAAAACTTGCCACTCCACCACAATCACCAGACTTAAATCCTTTGGAAAATTTGTGGAATTCTTTGGATTTAAAAATAAGAAAATGGAAGATTTCAAGCAAATCTGCCTTTAAACAAGCCCTTATTGAAGAATGGTCGAATACTGACCCTACTGTTACAGAAAATTTAATTAAATCAATGCCAGCAAGATTACAAGCAGTAATAGATGCTAAAGGAATGCATACTAAATATTAGTTATTTGAAATTTGCTTATATATTTTATTTCTTTTGTATTCATACAGGTGTGCAAATACTTTTTTGATATGAGATATTTTAATTTTGTTACAAAAAAGCATTGTTATTTATATTATTGTAATTTTTCTGTTTGTTTTGGATGATTAAACGTATTCTGATTTGGCAATATAATGTTTTTATTTCTCAATGTTTCTTTTTATGAATTGCAAACAAAAATGTAGGTGTGCAAATACTTTTTTACCCAAAGTATATGAATTTTTTTTCACGTTCTGCAGGCAATAAAGGAGGTATCACATCTAGCGACGGTCCCGGCTAGACGGGACTTTTCTAAAAAACGAGATTCTGGTAGCACTGGTTTAAACGGGGAGGATTTCTAGAAAAAACAGCTCCGCTAGGAGCGAAGTCCGTCTAGCTATAGAAACGATGTCCCTGCTACGCGAGATATTTTGAAACTTCGTCGAAACTGTTTCGTCCGCAGCTCTGTCCCGGGTAGAGATCAACCAATCATACGAAAGTTTTGTTTCTTAAGGATCACGCGATCCCAGTCTGAGCGATAATCGATTACTGTTTGGGTTTCAAGTCTGTTTAGTAAGTAAAAATGGAAACCTTGTTACGTAGGTTTCGTGGAAATATGCGCGTTCTGAGAAAAATCCCTTTCGACGTCTAGTCTCGTATAGCGGAAACATAGTATGTGATAGCGACTTTGCACGTACCTAATAAATGGCACTCATGATTTATGATCTGAGCTTATTTTCGTTGTTAAAATGAAGCGTACAAAAATGGCTCCCATACCGCTGTTAAAAATACTTCTTGTACACATAAATTAATCAGTGTAATGCTGTAGCCTTTAAAACACTTTGAAGATAGTTCGATTGCTTTATTTAGTTATGGTAAAGCACGCGAGGGCTATCTTTCTAAGGGAAAGGATGCCTTCGTGGAAGACTTACCAAGGGAAACTCACTCGTATACATGTTACACAAAGGGAAAACGCCCATGCAGTCAGTCCGTCTGCTTGGAAACGAACTCAGGTCGAAACTACCAATGTTTGCCGCTCGGTTGCTGGTGGGCCGAAGATAATTCGATTCCTTTGTTTAAGACGTTTCCTCGGGACAGAAGGGAGTCGAAAGGAATGCTCCCACAGGACAGAGTGGTTTTGCGTCGCTAAGCATAACTTTAGAAAGAAAATCATTCAAAAAAGGGCATAAGGTCGTAATTTTTGGTACCGTTTCAGATTATTACTTATACGTTAAAATTAGCATTTAATAGCCTTTTACATGAAAAAATATTACAATATCTCCTTAGTTTAAAAATAGTTCTCGGATAAGCTATTCAAATTATTTCGAAGTTTTAATTGATTAAACGCATTAATAAACTTCATAATTAATTAAAAAGTACAAGAAAGCCTATTTACAAGAAGAAGTAACAAAATCTTCCACGGGAAGTGGAAGATAGGCACTCAGCTCAATCTCTGAAAATGCCTGTTTCAAAATCATTAGAAATATCACTTTAGAAAATAAATCATCACTCTAATCCATGTTATTAATTGCCTCATTTACTATGCGAGTATATCTTTCCTCTGATAAATATTGCATTTTCGCTATAATAAACTGGAGTCGGGACTTTCAAAATAAAAAGGGAAGAATGCGAAATATATATGCGAAAGCAACGCAAAACGTAACAAAACTTCACACAGTAACCCTAAAAGACGCTACAAAGTAGAGAGAAAAAAGACAAAATAAGGATTCGGAGGAATATCAGAAACGTGAATGTTTATATCACATGGCGAGCTAAAGAGATGACCCCTCCCATTTGTTAACATTATGCTTTTCTTTCTCCCGTGAGTGAGTCATGTTTCTCTCATTTCGAGTAGAAAGTCAAATCTACATGTATCTTATGGTCATTCAATGCCATCTTGTGGCAAAAATTAGTTTTTTAAAACGTTCTAAGACACTGGAACAAATATATGACGGCCGGGGGGTGAACGAGAAAACGCTCTTGCACGCCAGCGTGCCGCCCGGGAAATTAATGCGTTTCTTGCTGGTACGTATGCATGACAATCGGCGCGAAATGGCTAAAGCAATTTTTCTAGATTTGCGCAAAACACGAACGAGGATTTGATTACGAACGCCGAAAATAAAATTAATAGGCAGGGCACACAGACTTGAATTAAAATTTTCGGTGAAACGAAACTTTTCCCTAAGGTGATTCACTGTCGACTGTTTGTAATAACTTGGAAGAAGCTCGTTATAATAACAGGGCGTACTAGATGAAAAGGTGAAGAAGGAAAGAAGAAAGGTGAAGATGTGGCTGAATTCAATTATTTCCTTTTTATTGATAGTTGGCGCACATTTTTATTTAACCTAACACAAATCAAATCGGCGCTATAGCGCCTTGTTCTTAAAGAACATTTAACATAGGATAACCATGAAAAATATATTTTTTGAAGGCAGTAGCATGTTGCTACAGCAAAGCGGAAGAGAGAAAAGTGACGGTTATCCAATATGGAGGCTTAGTTAATGAGAAAGGTTTCAGTTTGTCATTGAAAACCTATTCAGGAATTGGATAAAGGTCATCTGCAGTGTTATGTTACGTAAGAACTTATGGTGAAGATTAATTTTGAAATGACGCGTTTTAGAATGGTACATTGTAAGCAACTATTATTTTTAATACAAAAAAGGGAAATACCTAAATTAGAAGGGACTGCGCTGCCGATTATCAGGGCTAATACCAGGGAAGCAAGTGTACAGAAATACACGGATAATTCAAACTCCCAAAATATGCACGCAATTACGTACGAAACACAACACAACAAAAAAATGCCCAGTGATAACCAAAATGATGCCTTCGACTAAGGGCATGCAGTACGAGGTAATCGTTGAAACTTAAAGATGCAGCTCAGCCGTTTTGAGACCATGCTTGGATTTGTTGAGTGTTAGTTTTGCATAGCGTTGGTTATGCGAGCGTGGACACCACCAAAAATGCATAATCCGCAAAGTAGATAATTCGCACTCGGATAATCGAGAGTACTTAATAATAATAATTTTACTTATACGAGTGTGAAGTATTTTTTGATGGGTGTAGTTTCCTTCCTTATAGAAATTACTATGTTTAGTTATGATTACTTTTTTATTCATTTACTTATTATTTCATTGTCAGTTTTTTTACACATCTCGATAAAACCTCTTCTAAGTGTTTATTATTTTCAGTTCACGAATTTGGTACCTTGGCAAAGTAGAAAATGTTGTTATTTGAAGGAAGCTTTTACTGTAATAATAAGTTTCGTGAAGCATTATGATCCAGTGAAATAAGTGGACAGCTGCATCTTGCATGATTAAATCTTTATTACAGAAATTCACAAGTCTTAATGTAACATTAATTTACAATGAAATAATATCAAACCAAATTTTTTATTTAACATTTGGCTTTGCCACTTTGAAAAGCTCATTTTTAAATATAAGATATTTCATGTTTTATATCAGGGTTTCTTAAACTGTGGGTCGGCGAGGGTCGCAAAAAATTGGAGCAGTTTAGCAGTTAGGACCTGGCCAGCCAGACCTCGAAGGTCGCCAAAAATTGTAGCGAGTTTTTGATATTTCTTTAACCTTATTATAATAATTTTAAGTTTTATAATTACCAAATATTTTTACACAGTGTATCTAAAAATAGATAAAGATAAGATAATAAGACAAAGAGAAAAATGAAAACATTTCGACGCATTCTTTTTTATAATACATACGTTCATTTTACTTGCTTTGCACGTGACGCTTTCATTTCGTCTGTTACTTATTTAAAATTTTCACATTGTTCTATGCCTTAAAATTAGAAATTAAAGTTAATGACCTAAAACTGCAGTAGTATATTACAGTACAAGTGAAAAATTGACAGTTTCACACACGCGTATGTCGGATTTGCGCAATCCTTATGGGGTACCCCAAAAGTTTTGTAAATATTATGAGGTCCTGGAGGTTGCGAAAAAATCTCAGTGATAATAAGGAGTTGCGATTGAAAACAGTTTAAGAAACCCTGTTTTATATCATTAATATCTGTGAGACTAATATTTAAACTTATAAGCCTACTACAACTATATTTTGCTTAAATCTGTTTTAGGTGTTAAATTGAAATCTGCATAGACTTTTTATAATGTTATGATTTTTGCATTTTAAAATCATTTTTAATTTTTGAAACTCTAATGGTAAATTAGTTCAGATTAGGTATCTAATCCGAAGTTCCAAAATTCCAGTTTTTATTCTATTTTTTCAATTTACTGATCGTTTTATTTGAAAGGTTATATGAGCAGATATACTATATAAAGAAATATTAATAATATTTGCAATAAGAAATGTGTATGAAGAGGAAAAACTTAAAGTCATTTTAAGATTCAGCGCTCTAATAAATTATAAATACTGTATAAATTTAAAAAAGAATTCATAAACTTACAATTTTCAGCCCTGTTTTCAGTTATTGGCATTTATGTAAGAATGGCAATAGTTAAAAAAAGGGTCTCAAATTTCTGTTCCAAACTATACTGTATATTAGACGACTAAAAATAAGTGTTTTTAACTATACAGTAGGTTATAAATATTTGAAAATGCATTTATTCCTGAATTTTCGATTAAGATTGGTTTTGAAATAGGTAATACATCTGAACCTTGTTGTTACTTCGGCGGGATCACATGTGACTCCGGAATGCTCCAATATCGAGGTTGAGAGGCATTTAAAATGTGGCTGCTCGTGTGCATACGAGGAGAAAGACTGTAATCAAAATCAGGTAAGTTAACATGATATTATTTTATTTCCTTTCTTTAGCTAAAAATTACCAAAACACATTATTGTTTTCATTTACAGAAGAAAATTCGAGTAAAATATAAATGAATGTTAAGTATGAGTAGTTGCCAAATATATGCAATACAATATTTTTTCAATTATCTTCCAAATCATACCAATACGTTGCTTATTAGGGTAAAATATCTCAGGCATTTAAAAGAGTTATTTCATAGTAATATTTTGATAGTTTCAAAGAATCGAGACTGCATACAGTGATTCCATCTTTAATTCATTGTTCTGTTTGGTATTTTATGATGAATAGCCAGCTCTTCAACCCTCTAAAAGCGCCAAGCGTTTGGCCTTTAACACAAGTATTTTGTGAGGAGTAATAAGTTCTTCAACCCTCCAAAAGTGTCAAACATTTGTCCCTAAAACTCTAAAGTTCCCCATAATGCCATGAATATGTAGTATCTTCTTGATTATAATTTCAAAATTACCTTCTTCTTATTTTGTACCTTGACTTTGTCTGCCAATGCACATTCAAATCAAAAACGGATCCGTCAGGGAGTTCGCAGAAATTTTTGTGTATAGCGAATTAGAAAGCCATCTTTCTGTGTGAAATTTCCTACCCATAACCATTGCAGGGTCAGTATTTGTTGCAGTAACTGCACACATTTTTAGAATGCTTTCAAGGCAATATAATAATAAAATTCTAAAGCACTGTATCATATCCTATATATATGTTTTTTTAATTAAATAGGAAGAGTCAATAACATTTTTTTCTCTTTTAAGAAGATGATGAAGGAAACTATTTGATTTCTAAAAGGCTCTTTAGCAAGTTTAATCTTTCAATGTCCAGAAAAGACGTGAGGAAAATGAACGACAATTATATTCCAAATTGAATGCGTTTATTTCATTGTATGTCATTTACACTGCTGGCCATTAAAATTGCAACACCATGAAGGAATTATCTGACTAGCGTCAAAATCGCATGAAAGGAAGAAGTTGGGATATGAAAATTTAGTATTTCAGCGCTCGAAGAGAGGGCCGTAACCTCAGAAAGAAATGAGAAATGTATACATGAGTTATGCGACTAATGGCTTTGTGGCGGAAATTGATGGTATAAGATTGATATAAAAATCAAATAATGATATATACAGTATTTCAGCGCATTTAGACGACGCGGAGGGAAACGATATCTAACGACACATCAAGAAAGTTGTTATGTATTTCCAATTCGGAAGTCTTGTAAGGTGGCATGTGCTCGAATATCGTGTTATGGGCTCGAATAAGAAGAGGGATGCTTACCCAATTTTCGAAATTCGAAAGAACAGATCTTGCCTATGGAAGAGTAGATTATCGTTCCATGATATTGCCGTCGCACTGGTCGACATCCAAACATTGTCATGCGAATACGGAATCAGTGAATTACTGAGGGTCATACTGAATGGCATGCAGGAATTCAACGCCTTCCATGACTAATGCCACAGAGTACAGACATATTGTGAAATCAGCCCTGCAAAACCGTGCGATCATATCGCGGACCATCAGTCAAGAAATGGGCATGTTTGCAGCACGCCCAGTATCAGCTCTTAAGGTGCGTCGACGTAGCAAGATCTGGACATCATAGGGACGATTACGGCGGCTTCCCTTAACAATGAAGCTATGAGATAGGTGCAAAGCTGGTACGGGAGTGCACATGTTGCCTTTTCATACGAGCCAGGTTCTACTCTATTCTGTGGCCGGTATTGCTGGAGTGTCCGAGGAGACCGACGTCGCCTTCTTCATTCTATTCAGCAAGGGCCCTGCACCTATTTGAAGATTTTACAGCCACGTAAACGCATTCAATCTCTAGTTCGATGACGTAATTGAACGCAGATTTACATTTTCTGACATCGTGCATCCATGGTTGTGCCCTATCTTCGAGGCCCCAAAGCCAGTTCCAACAAGGTATGCAAAACCACATGTGCAGTCGTTTTGCCTTCTCGATACCAGGTATTCGATTGCTGCATTGCCGCAGGTCCCAGATCTGCCACCCAGTGAAAACATCTGGTCATGTTTGCTGAAGACTGCCTGCCACCCCTCTCCAGCTAATACGGTTGATGAAGTGTGGCATAGACTTGAAGCAGCATGAAATGAGTTGTCCGTTTCTGTCATCCAAGCCCAGTTTGACTCCATGCCTAAGGGTAAGGGGTAAGGTCCAGCTGCCAGGGGTGGCAGCTGTTTCTACTAATTTCGCAACCCTCTAAACCTTCAAAATGCTTGCAAATTTATTCATTTGTCTTCATTTACCTGCAATAAATATCTTTTTTGTATTTGCTTTACTTCATGGTGTTGCAGTGCACATAGCTGAAAAGATGATTTCTGAAAAAAAAAAAAAAAAAAAAAATACGTTTGTTCCAGGAAGATAGGCTGAAGCAACAAGATAAGATAGGCTGAAGCAGACTTAATAGCCCCTTTAGATTTCTCTTTATGAGACTTGTGAAGGAAAAAGTATATCAGACGCCAGTGGCCTATGTTGAATTCATTGCCACTGGAATTCATTGCATTCCCGAATTATAAAGGTGATGAACGATAGAACTCCTCATGCCAGTAGTGCTTTCGAACATATGTAATGAGATACAATATTACCAAGACCGTTCAGATAGAGGTGTAACATAATCTTTTCAGTAATTCTTTCCAGTTGCATAAACTACTGCGAAACAGTTACGTCCTTCTTTTTCATCACTTCTTTATAGGACATAGTTGCGTTGCATTTATTAATTTGAGAAATCTTACCTAGCTGTGATTCTTTTGTTATAGCAACAAGATGAGGAATGATATAGATTCCCATTGTCATTCGCGATTGAATTTGAGAGGCTGTATTAAATTTTTACTCCAAACTATCGATATTCTGTGGCCCCTGTACTTGATGATTTAGCAAGTTCCACACAACTGGCGAAAAATCTGGGGACATTGCTGGCCAAGTAAGAATGTAAACAGCGCGGATAAGCAGAAATATGCAAGCTTTATGATACCAAGCATGATCTTACTGTAAAATGGGCTCAGAAAGTTATCACAATATCCAATATGTTATCAACATACCGCTACGCTGCTAACGTTGTACTTATGACAACTAGGGACATATGCTGTTAGTGATATTTATTAGTGCAACCACCAGTCGCCAGATTTTCAGAATGCAGTTAACTCCGCAATCTTAGTTTTAGCAAGCAATGTCGTCATTTTTATAACCATTCTTTTTCTTAGGTTTTGAGTTCCAACTGGTTTTATAGACAGATCTTGACTTTTGTTTCTTAAATTCAATTTTAAAATATGCACTTACAAAATTTGCTTCAAAGGAAGAAATTGCAGTAAAATATCTGCATTAATACAATATTTCGCAACAAAATCGCTAAAGCAATTGCCATTATAAAAGGGGGGGGGGAAGAAAACCTGTTTGAATTTTTGGAATATATATTTAAAAGCGTAAGATAAGATATATCTGCAATAATATGTTTGCATATAATAAACAATTTTCTGCAATTATAAATCATCCTTCGTTTTTTTTACATAAAATATCGCCGAATTGTGCCAAACTAGTTGCGTTAATGCTGAGTACTGCAATAACGCTAACAATAACACTCTACACCATCACACCAGGAATGCTGGCCGTGTGCCCTTTGCGTAAGATCTGCTTGGGATCTGCCTGGTCGAATCTCTTCCAAACGCAGGTTCGATGACCATCAGCTTCAAGACTGTAGAAATATACATCACTGAAGACAATGAGGTGTCAGTTAACAGCCAGTTTTAAACGGCGTTATCGAAAGTGGTGGTGATGGTGAAAAATTTAAAAGAAGACTTGAGTATTGACTCAGACAACGTCGGGAAATGGTGGAATGTATTGCAGGTGGTATAGAAGAAACGACAACATTTTATATTTTGAAACAATAATGATGCTGGAGCAGTTTGAGCTTTTCGCTCAGTCAGCAAATATATCCATATACTGTATACTACTGCAACAATAAATGCGCTGCATTGTAATTTTGTTGTATATAAAGAAGGAATTATTAGGAAATCTAATATCTTTTTGGTAGAGTAAAATTCCACATCTCTTCATCGATTCAATAAAGTCATTCTTATTAAGCAATATATAGCATGAATAAGTGCAGTTTTAACACCTCCTGTCATCAGACGGAGAGCTTGGTTAAGAACAATTTCTAGTTTCCTAACTACTTTGACGAGCCAGATTGTCAGATGAAAGATTATCTCGAAGGCTTTTGAGATTTAAAGTAAAAATGTAGTTTTAGTCTTGTCTTAATATCATTGCATTCTCTGTGCGCCATACTTTTAACCCCTTAAGTACTCAGTTCAGTGATTCAGTCACATGACCGTGATTTTACTTTTTGTAAATTTTTTTTTTTCATTTAACTTTGTTATAAAAATTCCCAATTTCTAATATCTGCAAACTAATTGTCAGTATAATTAGGCAACACATGGCTAAAACGTCGATGAAAGTTAACGTGTAAAGACCCTGCATTGCTTAGGATGCTTACAAGTTTACACTATCACATTTCTTTTACCATAAAGGTTTGAAAAAACTACAGTATTTAAATATTATTCAGGAAATTTAAATCCTTGATTAAACTGGTGACAAATTATGTTGAAATTTAATTTATATGATTCCCTTCCATAAGGAAATGGAGGAATGAGAACAATCAGAATGTAAATATGTGAAGTCATTAGGTTTTCAAGACAGAAGAGAAACACGCTTCAAATAAATCATAAAAGTGAAACAACAACCTGTGTTAAGCGTAGATTTTTAGCACAGAAACTCTACCAGTTTTGAAGGCGAACAAAGTCCTTCTTCATCAGGAACAAAATAAGTTCCAGATTTCTTTGCTCCTGATGAAGAGGAACTTTGTTCGCCCTCGAAATCGATAGAGTTTATGCTAAAAATCTACTTCTATCACAGGTTGTTGATTCTTTTATGATTCGTTAGTTTTTTTTTTTTTTTTTTTTTTTTTTTTTTTTTTTTGAAGCCAGAAAACAAACAATTAGCGATGCCACCACCTAAATGCGAAAGCCGGACATCCCGCTTGCTAGCTGAATGTGCTTTCAATTAAACCCCGAAGGTACACGGTAAGAAAGGAGAAAATTCCTTACAGGTGGAGCTAAAGAAATACAAAATTTTGAGCTAAATTGTTCAGTATTTTGATAGTTGCTAATAGTTGGCCCTGATTGCTAGAAACGGAAATAGTGCTGTAGAGATAAGATTAAATAAGGTCACAAATTTCTATTGCTAGTATTGATTCTAATAGGTAGTACTGAATGGGTAGGACAGTTATCCAAGTGTTTAATGGCTTTTCATCCTTTATTTTGAATTAACAGACTACATATAGCTAATAATACATAATAATAGCACTAAATTAATATGGAATATGGGAGCTAATATTTGCGGATGATCCACAGATACTTACAAATGTATTTCTGATGAAAGTAAGTTCTTATACCTTACAAAAATGATAGCAATTAATTCCCAAAGAGGTGTTAAAATATCTTATTTGAATGTTAAACAAAAAATATTTGTTTCAAATAGTATTTAAAGAAAATGAAGAAAGAACAGAAAAAATCTTGCTGAATTGAACTCTATGCTGTACATTAAAATATAGCAGTACATAAAATATTAGATGCGAGCTACAGTGCTCGATAGTTCAATGCGGCCATGAAAATATGGGAGAAATGCCCCGAGTATTTTTAATGTATCACAAAGTATATGATAATATTACAAATCCTCCTGGCTTTCACACATCAGATCCTTTAGCCGAATTAAATACAAATCGATGTTATGAGACAAGAGCGAAGGTGGCCTGGTAGCGCATTCACCCTTTATGACTCTTTCCTCGCTTTCTATCAAAATACTTGTAGAGTTGCTGAACATCCATTTCAAATCGCAGTTGCATTCCACGAAATTTCCTAAAAGGAAATTCAGATTTCAAACTTTAACATGGTATTGTAATTTTAGTTCATATTAGATCATAATAAATTTGAAATTATTAAACCTATCGTCATTTTGTTACCAATTAATACAAATTTTCTGGAATGCAGTCGATTAAGAAAGTCTCATTCATGCTATTCAAAAATCTTAATAAGCACATTTAATTTCCTCGATAACTCTATGACAGTAATACTAATCCTGTAATCAGTACCTCTAATCTAATTTCATCGGAAGATGTTTTAAATACCATATACGAAATTACCTCCTTACATAGGCTGAACTTTTCCATTTATAAAGCATTATATTAAAATTATTTGCCTAGGTTACTTGCGAGAGCTAAAATTTTGAGAAATGTATAATATTTAAATTTTATTCATCGATCCAAATTATTTATTAAACTGGCTTCAAATTAGGATTCTTAGATATTTGCAACAGTAATTAAATTGGCATAAATTTTTAAATCCAAATCCAAACCTCAGCTATCTGGTTAGTATTCTAGTCATTATGTAACGATTTTGATATTTTTGTGTGATGGTACATTTTTTTCTTCCAAGGCTTTCTTGTTTCAGAGAATTTTTATAAAGTCCAAAGGGGATTTGTCCTTGAAGGACTAAGTTTTCATTTTGCGTTGAATCACTATAAATGTACATTTCACTTTTCAAACTGTTGCCACCAAATGTTAGAGTCCTGCATTATACTTGAAGAAATTAAATTATGAAAAATCTGCATAAATGTATGTTTATTTCTCGCATTGTGATAAAACAACGGTACATACAGCCATCGAATTTTGAATGACGTAAATCTCCTACGAATATGGGCATGTGGAAGACTAAATTTGAAATTTGGAATTTGTTTTATTATCGATTTCATATTTTGTAAGATTTTAACGAATTTTTTATTGACAAACTCAAGGATTTCAAAGCGAGCAATGACAACACTCTATGACGGGGGAAAAAAAAACCTTTTTATCTCTAGCGGGCGCTTTTTATTTCCAGCGGGCGCGGAACTGCGTATCGGAAATTCTAAAGATATGCTCATTTTAAAAGATATGCTCATTTATTTTGCGATATTACTACCGAACTGAATTTCATGGTTTAAGTGCAAAGAACATATATTTAATAAATAAAGGTAATGCACAAAACGTTAAAAAAACACCGCTTTAAACGTAATTTAAAATCTGAAACCTTTCAGTTTTTTTTTTTTTTTTTTTTTCTTGATCAATTAGACAAAGCCCAATGCGAACTCACCTGAGAGAAGAGCTACCTACGTGGATCATATTCTAAGGAAAATGCCATCTCCTCCCAGCGGCTGAATGCTTGAGACCGCTGAACATTAGATTCAAATGCTGTCGAATGGGCTGGCTGCATGAATGCTTTTATGGCTTTCCCATGTCTAACACAAATACTAGCAAATTTCCTTTAGAAACTGCTTCACTAAGCCATTTCTTTCTTCAGGCAGATAACCTCTATCTCTTCTACAATAGTAAAATGATCTAAATTAAGCTTCAAATAACCGTAAATTATTTCAAACAACGTAAACTAATTTAAATACTCTAAATTAATTCAAGTTATATATGCACAAAACTACGAAAGTATTCATCCCACCTTCTAGCCATGATTCGTAGAGAGGATTGCAATCAATTATTTTAGATCATGGCAAAGCAAACGAGGGCCATCTGGCTTATAGAACTGTGCTTTCGTGGAGAACGTTTTAGGAAAAACTAATTTGTTTTCACCTTACACATAGGAAAATCAGGAAAACTTTCATGCAGCCAGCCCGTACATTGGGGACTTGAAAGGTCATTTTCATTACATGCCTTTCAGAAAAGAAAAACCTATTATAACGAAAGTTAAAAACGTTTTCCAAGACAGCTTTGAAATTGGTCTCATGGCAAAGTGTATGTAAATTGACTAAATAATGTTATCGATTTCTAATTTCAAATATCGGCTTCTCAAAAGCCATTAAAGTTGGAAGGAAAGCAGAGGGTTTTATATAATTTTATAAAATTCTTAAAAATCGAATATGATTATTTAACACACACACACACATATATACATACACACACACACACACACACACATATATATATATATAATAATTTATTTCCTAAACAGTATTGATTAATTGATTATATTATCTCCTAAGTTTAATTAAAGTAGAATTATTTTAAATTAGAATTATTTTAAAAGAGTGAATCCATACTGGTAAGTTATATTTTGAAAGATGTTTTGAAGTAATTTGAAAGCAAAATGTTAATAATGTTTTAACGGGGACTGGAGTTAAATCATCATGAAGAATAAAATTTCAATTGTAAAAGGAAAAATTAAAAACATGTAATCATTGTCATTGATCGGAAATTAGTTGACTTTTCAAGGGGAACAAACCAACTCCCGTTCAATGAACAATAATTGATAAAAAATACGTAAATACGAAAGTGTTTCGTCTTTACTCGAGTTATAAGTTAAAGCCAAACCGGCAATTCTAGTCAGGCCAAATATTTCCGCGAATAGAAGGGATTATGAACCAATGCTGATACTCAAAGAACTTATTCTTATGAAGCATTTTAGTCAATTCAATTTGGAGTAAAAAGCAATTACTGTAGAGAAATCCTAATTAACCCGAGTAACCGTCCCCGACACTTTCATGTTTATGCATTTGAGTTCTATATTATTTGTAAAATTAAACATTGGAAATTGTCATTATGAAATCGAATTCAAAGTAAAGTTGAAATAAACATAGAAGATTACAAAATAAGATAAATAATACAAAATTTGTAAAAACAAATCAAAGACAATATAAAAATAATATAAAAAATATAAAAAATAATATATAAGAACAGTGAATGTACATGAAGATATAAAGGCCAGAAAAGGTATTAAGTAACTTAATTCTTTCTAGTGGGGGAGTTGGCAAAGTGTTCTCTTCGTGTCTGACTCATAAGTGTAGGGTGTCCGAAAATTCTTAGCGGCAGTGGAGGCTTTGAATAATATCAGTCGGTAAGACTTGGGTGAAGTAATTTATGGTAGTGGGTGGGACTTGGAATTCTTGAGGGATGTATTATGTGGAGTTCTTATTTGAGGGAGACTGTCTGTTAAGATTTTTTTGAAAATACTAGTGAATGGAAATTAATTAATTTCTGGCTAATTGTCGTGTCGCAATGATTAAGAATTTAAGAAAGGAAAAAGGAATTTTCACTGTCCAAGAGCTATTAGACAGTCTAAAGTCATGAAATAGGCCCATTTTTTTAATATGTTTATATTTTATATTTTTTTATATGTTTAATATGTATTAAATGTTTATAGTAATTTCAAACAGTTTCACATTAATCATCGTACGCTAGCCATCAAAGTAAGAAATAAAATGGGAATAATTCCGTTTCTATGAGCTTCTATCATGCAATGCAATTTTTAGAATAAGTGATGGCTATTAGAACTTCAGAAGAAAACAGGTACAGTTCTAGAGACATTAGTTTTTTTTTTTTTTTTTTTTTTTTTTTTTTTCTTTTCTTTTTTTTTTTTTGAAGCAGGCAAGATTAAAAATTAGCAACGCCTTCGCCGAGAGTTGAACTGCGAACCTCTCAATTACGCGCTGAGCGTGCAGACCATCGCAGCACGAAGGCACGCTAAGAAGGTGGGAGAAATACCTTATACAATGACCACACTTTGTGCTGACGATTCCCCTCAAATTTTATTGAATATTAAATTAGTATTTATAAGTGTAATTTGTACTAGAATAAAAAATGTGTCTAATGACCATGTTTTCTATTGGCAAATAAATTAAATAATCTAAGACTAAATTTGTTTTACCTTTTTTTTGGGTTCTAACATTAATTATGTGGGAAAACTGATTTGTTATTTTTATGCAACAGCCCTGATAAATTCATTACTTATTTTTTAAAAATACAATTTGTTTATGTAAGAATACGCACGCCCTGAGTAATGTATAAAAGCGCCAAGAATTACTTATATATGTGTTAATTAATAATTACTAAAGCTAAAAATGTCATACCCTTTTTAGTTTACTTTAAATGTTTATATTTGTTCAAAAAATTGCTTTGTTATTTAAAAACAATGCAATTATCTAGCCGTGATTCTTGAAAATTTTATTTTAGCTTTTGAATATTCTTGAATTTCATCATGCAGCCATTATTGTCCTGAATTTATGAGACGTGTCCTCCAGCCAGTTTCATGTTAAGGCATGGACTTGCGGAATAACAATGAGCTTTAAATAAACTATCACTTCCGACTGGCCGTTTGCAAACAAAATCAATTTTATTTATAAATGAATGTTATTACAAACTATTATTTATAAATGAATTATTATTTATAAATGAATGTTATACAATTATTGATCTATTGTCCCCTACAAAGGATAATGGAAAACTATACCTGCTCATGTACACATCAGTCCTCATACTTTGTTTTGAAAATATCGCATCGACTGTCCTCTAGTTATATATTGTTTTGGATTCACAAACTAATAACTTAACAAGAATTTTTTACAGCAGCAGTTATCCTTAGAATTCCTAATAGAGTGTTTTGTCATACATTTATTCTTATGTTTGATATGTTTTTTATATTTGGTATATTATTTTTTTTAAATATAATACTTAGCGACAACATTTGATAGCAATATCCTTTTATTTCGAAAGTGAAAATTTTGTTTGATACGAACACAAAATTGAGGATTGAGGCTAATACATTTAATTGTTTCATAACGAAAGTTCGACTTCATAATGAATATTTCATCCGTTTATCAGATTTATTCCTAATAAGTTTAATACGTTATTCTCAATAACATAATTATTTTAAATATCAAATTTGAAAAGTTTTGAATTACCTTTTTATATATTTCTCTATGGAAAATTCTAGAATTTCAAGTGAAGTATCACTTGCAGTTCATCGATTTCAGTTAAAATCTAATATGTTCTTCTCATGAATACAAAAGTCTTAAATACTAAAACTGAAAAATTTCTGGATTCTATTGTAATATAGTTTTTCATAACTATTGTGTGTTCGATTAAAGTACCACTTCCGGTTGTACATTAAAGGCCTTATTAGGCTTTCTGTAAAGTACTAGTTCCTGTTTTCCACTTGTACCCAAAATCTAACTAACTCTGTACATGAATACAAAAAACTTCAACATGGAAAATGAAAATTTTTGGAAGTTTCATATAAGATTCATAGCGGATGAAAAATTCATTTACGACATTAGTGTAAAAAAGTAAAGACATGTTGTGGGGTCTCTAATTCGTACTTATTCACTGAAAACTAATTATCGAATTTCTGGACTGAAAACATTACCTACTGTTACGAATTTTGTATATATGTAACTAATTTTAGTGAAATTATACGTGAAACTGTAGTATTTTTGCGTAATGTAACATGAAATGCTTGAAAGACACGAAGCTCTGCCGGAAAAATAAGTCTATTTAACATTGAGGTAAATGGCTATCTCATTAAATTGGCGAGACATCACCAAGGTGGCGATGGTTCTTGGCGACAATTTTTTTCGAGAAATCGACAAAAGTCGCTATCTTGGCAAACATTTGGCGACATTTTGCGCCGGTTCCTGTATAATTGTAATTGGTCTAAAGGCCTATGGAACTGTAACTGTATCTACCCCTGTATAACTCTATATGCCTTCCAGAAACTTCGAGAAATGGAAGGGATTGGAAATTTTTCAGAGACTGGGGGAAACTATATAAGGCCGGAAAGAGCTCATCATTTCTCACATTTTTAATTTAGAGTTGTATTCGGAGTAGTGAGAGATCTTCATGTGAACTTTGCTCTGTAAATGCGCTTCGCGTTGAACTGTGCTTAACGTTCTTAGTAGTTTTTAAGTGTAACTACTGATTGTACTCTGTGATACTGAGAAGTATGTATGTGTATTTATGAGGAAAGTTCCAAAACTGTAAAGCGTTTGTTTTTGTAAAAATAAATTTTATTTTTTTGAAAAGCTGTCACTGGTTATGTGTTCATTCAATCCATAACGAACCCGTGTAGCAATATGTATATTGTTTGGCAGGAGGTAAGAAGTAACTCGTTTTGTGCCACTAACAAATCATAATAATTTACAACCTTGTGTAAAACCGTTTGAATGAAAAAAAATATGTTTAATAGTTGCTACTGATGCAAAGGGAGACTGCAATTGATATTACTTTCAATACTTACCTATAACACTTATGTATTTCAGCTTCCACCAGACGCTTTTCCAAGGTTTTTCAGGCATAGAAAATAAAAAGTTGTAGCTGACGTCCACATATTTTAAGGAAGTCATATTACTAAAAATATCTTCTGGCAAATATTTCATGCGGTTCCAGCTATAACAGGAAAAGAAAAAAATAGTGAATTTATCTATTGCTTTTATACAAGTACATTACGTGATACTTTTATTTCGAGATATAATTTTTAAGTTTTTAACTACTACTTTCTGTCTCTTTTAATAACAGCATGTTTCATGCGACATCAATAAAGGTTTCAAATAGATATTGGAACTTAATTAACATACTGACTTTAAAAGTGAAGTGTTAGTGAAATTTTCCTCAACAGAAGATGAACACTGCGTCTACTTATAAATCAGTACTTAAAATTCAAATTAACTCTAGCATAATACTAGCAACTAAGTTGTACATAACTTACAATTTAAAATACAGTAACTAAAATGTTAAATAAAAAAGATTTTGCAGCTACTGCAATCATAAACAAATCAAATAAATTATTTGCAAATCCAAGGTTTTACTCTAAACTCGCGGAGAAAGGTTTTCATGCCTGAGCTAAAATTCTGGTGACTCAAGAAGGCAAAAAAACTTTACTAATTAAATTTTGAGTATAGTTAGTATAAACAAAATAATAAAAAGGAACATAACCGCAAAATTACAGAAATAAATTATTTAGTAATTTATTTCAAAAGGGGCGCGAAAGGAATCGGTAGTACTTCACTCATTAAAGCCACAGCGTAAGCAAAACTAACATTCTCTGTATACAAAACAGGCCCTTTAACGGCGATACGAATCAATACTTTATGGGTTTTCTCAACACCTCCTTCCGATAATTTTACAAAATTATCACTATTTATTTATGCAAAAGGAATTCAAATATCTTAAATATGAAGTACATTTACCCGATATAAAGACAAACAGCAAATGGATAACCCCATAAAATTAACAAGCGTAGTTAACAACATGAAAATTCAATGAGTAAATATCACTGAATCTTAAAAAGTAAATTATAAGTAATAATTCGATTAATTAACTAAAAGTTATGTAAGTAAGCATGAAATATAAGAGCATTAAGTAAAAAGTAACTAATTTTTTAGTTCTTTTTTCAATGGGATAATTCAAAGGGGTATATCAATTCCACATGTATCTCAAAGGCCAAGCGTGATCGTGCAAGATCATCACGTCCTTTCAAAACTTAAATTAATCAGTCTAAATCCTACAAGACCTTAGATTTGACTATTTCTTCAAGTAAAACTCTATCACCAACTATAAGATTCTTTTTAGTGTCAGGTGTACCGAAGAAATGAGCATTTTTTAAGAATCAAAACGGAACCGACTTTTCCATGTTTTAAATATAAGTACTGTCTGGTGTTGCTTTCGTTTTATTACACTTTCTGTTGTCGAAGAAGTATTCAGGACCTCGGCAAAGTTGTATGGATATTCATTTTTATGTCTTATCTTATAAAATCAGCTGGTATAGGCGGTTCGGATTCATGTAAGTCATTGCAAACGTAGGTCATCGATCGTTTGTTCGCAACATTTTCAGCTTCTGTCAGCATAGTCAAAAATCTTCAAAATTTAGTTGAACTTTGTTCGAAATATTTTAAATTCATCACTATTCCTTAATTTACTTTATAAGGCGTTCGTAAAATCCTCTCTACCATGGCGTTAGCTCCACAATAAATTTTCAGCTCAAGTCCTTCAGTTGCTAAAAAATTTCGAAAGTCTACTCCTTTAATTATGCTGTCAAAATACTGAAAATATTTGTATTTGAATGTTTTCGTGAATGTTCCGAATAAAAGGTGCAACAATTACTTCTCGAGATAAAACCTCGGAGAGCCAAAATGAATTTATTTACAGATATATTGGAAATGAGTTCTAGAGGTAACCCCCGTGTAAGGGCGTTACCTCTGGAACTCGCAAGCGCACGGGAACAATACGATGTATAATTTATATGAATGCCATTTCCAGATTTGACCTATACAGAAGCTGTGAAATCCACACTGGTAACATAAACTAGGTGGTGTTTCTGCAATCCAGTCTTTATGTAACTGAGCTGCCATTAGAATTTGTTTCCAAGTCAGGAAACTGAAGAAATATGCAACGTTCGTGAGATTCGAACGTCGTTCCCTGGGATTCGAACTCCGGCCCTTCCGAATAGGCGTCGAGCGTGCTTCAAGTTGTACCATGAAGGCTTGGGGAACGAAGGGAGAAAATACCTTATAGGTATTTGTAGAAAGAAACTATGAAGCAAAGACGAGGTTTTTGCAATGTTCTTTACCCTGTGACTGCTCTTATTTTAGGACGTGAAATCATTAAAAAGTATAAAAAATCATTGAGATTTTTCAATATTTTTTTGCATATTTGGAATTAAATGCTTTGCTATGTTCTAGGGTTCTTGAAATTACTAACTAATATTAACATATCAGGTTTTACGTGTATTAAAATTTTCCTAAAATGTTGGTTGGATGATTATTCGAATATTTCAAAGAACACGAGAGCTATCTACCTACGGCGAGGGATGCCTTCCTGGGGCTCTTTTTAAAGAAAACTGGCTCATACCCATGTTACACATGGCGAAAACTAACCATACAGTCAGCCCATTTGCTTTACTTCGAACTCAGATATAACTATCAATTTCAGCAGTTTTGATGATTAAAAATAAATCTGTTGTGAATTACCTCGCTTGACTTTAGGTAGCTATTGCTGTATTTCTGAGAAATATTTCGTATGCTTTTAGTATCTACATGTATTGTTTGATGTAGCTTTATTCCAGTTTACTATAAAACCTTCAACTATGGTTTGTACAGAAAAGTCATTTAAGAGGTTCATAGTCAATTAAATGTTATAAACTGACAGACCATATCGCAAAATATAAAGTTCCAGAGAAAAGTTCAGTATTTTAATGATTCCCTTCTTTCCAATAACCGATAGAGGTTCTGATATTGGCAACTTTGATTTAAACTTCTGTATTTATTTAATTGAGACATTGGGAACTTTATTTTTGGGAACTCAAATTGAGAAATTTCTTTCTTTTCATTAATTTTAATTTATTATTTTTAATTTGTATTTTTCTGATTTTTAAGCGATATCTCGACTAGAGTGACTGACATTTTGAAACATAAATCTTGAATTTATGTAGAAATTAAAAATTAGAGAAAATTTACTTAAGAATGCAATTAAAATGTCATGCAATACAATAACAGGGCCACCGCGTATGTGGTTTGAGCGTGTTTAGTTTTGGAGGTAGATATACACTCCAAAACACTATAAGTCGATTTTTTTAATTGATTTCATTACTCCATGATAACGTAAAAGTGAACCTACTAAACTAAAAAACTAAACTCAGTGGCGCAAACAGAACTAATGGGCCAAGGCCTGCAGTGCCCTAAAATCTGCTTTCTTGACCGTGGGCCCTAGGGTGCGTAAGCATGTGCCCTGAACAAGTGGTCAGTTTGTCGCAGAGCCCCCAGTGTTTATCCCCCAAGCGAATTTGGTACTCATTTTATCGACCCAAGGGATGGAAATCAAGGGATGAGAGGCTGAGTCGACCTTGCCCAGCCCGGGGTTCGAACCCCGGACCTGTGGTGCTGCTGCGCGATGCGCTAGCCACTGCGCCACCGGTCCTCAAAAGTGAACCTAAGATATAGAAACTTGATTGTTCAGATTTTTCTTTAACTCTTCATTTCTGACTAAAGTTCAAATCTCTAAAATGTAGTCTTTTCTAGAAATGTGATAATAAAATACACTAAGAATAATCGAATCATAGGCTAAGAATGTTATGTAAATTAATGAATATGAGTTATATATTAATTAATATGAATTAGTGAGAATACATGTAAATTAATTGATATGAGTTAGTGAGAATTATGTAAATGAATTAATATGTTTGCGCTTTTTGCAAAATCAAACTCATTTGTTTACCTGATTATGGCAAAGGGTGAGGGCTATCTGCCTAAGATAAAGATGCCTTCATAGAAGACATTTTAATAGAAATTATTCATATTTATTTTGCACAAGAGGAAAAGTTAAAAAAAAAAAAAAAAAAAAAACACCCATGTAGCTAGACTGTTTTCCGGGTATTTCAAGAGATGATAAATATAAATACGATTCGTGTTTCAGAACACCACTGAAGAAAAAATAAAACGATTAAAATCTCGCTAATGAGAATAGAGAGACTGCTAGAAATAGTATGAGAGTGTGGAAGGAAATTTTATAGGAAAACAAATAGGGAAAAGTCAAACACTTCCTGATTGATAATGATTTCAACTGATAGCGTTTTCCAAATGAAAGCGATGATCTGCCGATGTAATTCCAGCCATCAAGCAGAATGTAGTAGGGGAAAAGTTTCTCATTAAATCTGATCCAATGACGACGTGAGAGTAAACGTAAGGCTTCTTTGAATAAGTCACTTTCGTGCCCTGTGTTTGGTTACATCCTTCAAAACATTCTGTGATCGGAAGTCTCTAAAATTGCACGTACACGACTACGGCATCACGTTTAGTCCTCTCAAGAACGAAAAATTTACCCGCTTCCTAAAATTTTTTGAACTTCCTAAAGAACAAGTCCTTTGACATATATAATTGGAAGCTTTTCTTTCCTTAAATGTCTCAACCTGGATCCAAAGTTTGTGCCCGAGCAAAAGACAGACTTGCATTCAAAAGTTAGAATTGCATTTTAAGGAATATTTATTATTAAAATAATTGTTTTTGCTGAAATTATGGTTAACTTACATAAAAGAAGTGCCGGAGTCTTTTTTTATTTAGAGATCGGGTCAGCTCCGGCTAGAATTACGATTTATATCATTGCTCGGAGCCAGGCTTTGACGCACTTTAAGTGTGATAGGACGCAAAACATGGTTTCCTTACAAACAGCTCCCTTTTAGCAACTTATTACGCATACTATATTTGCAAAGTTGAGTGTGGCTGCAACGAATGTCTTGCAACACGGGCTGGCATCAGTTGTCTATCTCTTTTAGCAATCTTTGACAAATAACGGTACTGATAGATTATTGTGGCCGTTTTGGACCTTCACCTGATTATCTGCAAGCATCATTAGTATTGATATAATTAGTTTCAGATTCTTTATGTCCCTTTTGGCTATTTTTAAGTCTTAACTGACTTGCATCAGACTTTGACCTTCTTTCATTCTGCAAGTCCTACCCATTTCTTACAATTTGTCAGATGCCTTCTCAACATATAAATTTTTTTTTATTTCTAATGTAATTTTCTTAATCTTTGCTTATTACGGTTACTGCATTTATCATTCATTATTTTAGTTCTCTTTGTTATTTTCCACCCATCCCATTCACTTTCTTTTCAGCTCTTTATTTTTTTATTCTAAATCAAGTACGGCTCTGAAACTAGTCCAACTCATATCCGCTAATCCAGAGTATTATTTTTTACCTCCCTAGTCTCAACCAATAGAAAATTCCTGCTTCTGACTTCACAGCTACGCCACTACAGCTCCTACCATAGCCGGAGCTTTCCATCTTTCACTTTGTCGCTTCGATTTCCTGATTTGACTTAATGTTTGTCTCATCATCTGGAGTAATCTTTCATTCCAACGTCACCATCATCCGTATACTAGACATAAATTGCTATCGTTTTTTTCGTTAAGTCCTACACACAGGATCGGACTGATGCTCTGGCGCCTGCGATAAATGACCTAATCACTTAAGTCATGTTCCACCTTTCATTCGCGAACATTTTATCCAGTTACTCGTATATTCCTTGAAATCAAAGTCTAAAGTAATAGTTTTAGTGAAATTATATATGAAATTGTTGTATTTTTCTGTATGATGTAACATGAAAATCTAGAGAGACGATGCTGTACCGGAAAAATAAGAATACAGAGGCACGTGTATTAAAAATTGAACAAATGGCTATCTCACTAATTTGGCAATATACCGCCAAGCTGGCAAAGGTTTAGTCACCAAACCTGGCAAGAAATCTTCAAAAATTGCCAAAATTGGGGATATTTTGATCCGGTCCTTGAATCACTGTAATAGGTACTTAATTGAATAACTGTAATTGATTTCATATGTAACTGTAACCGTACCCGGCCGCCTTCATATGCCTTCAGTAATTTGAAGAAGTACTAGACAATTCTCAGCGGCTGGGTGAAGACTATATAAGACGGGGGAGAGCAGCTGCTCTCAGTAGTTCTAGTTATTTGTTAGTTCAGTGTGAGTTCGGAGTACTGAGATATCTCCGGGCTAGATTTGATGCGTGGATGCGGTTTGCATTGCATTGTGTTTAACGTTGTTATTAGTTTGAAGTGTAATTACTGATTGTACTCTTTCATATTGTGAACACCTGTACGAGTATTTCTATAGAAAGATCCAGAACTCCGAAGTGTTTCTTTTGATAGAATAAATTTTATCAACCTATCGTCGGACCTGTGTGTATTCAATCTATTTTACGAACCTGTGCGCAAGCAACAATACCTCTCATTGGACTTCTCTTAATTAATTCAAAGCACCTTTAATTTTTTGTCCTTGTCTATTTAATTTTATGCGCCGGTATACTTAATCAGAAGCCCACTGACGTTCTAAACTTATATAAATTTCTTTAATTAAAATTTTACTGTTTGGCATTTAGTTACTTATTTTGCTTCAAATTTAAATAAATAACTAGGTAACGAATATAAGTGGTAATTCACAATTTACTATAATAATTAGTGTTAGTTAAAATTCTTTTCCACTCCTATAAATAAGAAAGATTATATTACTGACCACCTTAGACAGTTGGCCTTGCAGGTACTAGGCAATATCCCCAAAAATGCTACCAAGATCTCCACAGATGGCAGCAAAATTGCTGACTATTCAAGTAGCGGTATTTATATTGAGACCCCCGCCCCCAAGGAAAAATAACACTCCGTCAAAGTAATCCAGATCAATGTTCAGTTTTCAGAAGTGAACTGATAGCAATCAACTCGAGACTCGACGCTGTATTAACGGAGGATAATTTTGAAGATCTATGGATCTTATATGATAGCCGAAGCTCACTTCAACATGTTAATAATTGGATTTACGTGGGCGATAAGACTAGTATCTCTGGCCTACAAAAACTATACCTAATTTCTCAGCATCATGATATTTATTTTCAGTCGATCCCATCCCATGTGGATCTTTATGACAACAAAATGGCAGACAAACTAGCAAAGGAAGGCTGTGGCCTTTTAATTCCGTCCTCTTCCGCCCTTACCTATCTAGAAATATATTCTCTGAAAACATTACAAATCATGGTGGAGTGATTGGGCCCTCCCCCACCCATCTCTGGTACCTAGGCAGCAGGCCTTGTTGGACTCTAACCTTTGAGTGTGACAGGTGCTCCCGAACTGCGCTCTCACTTGCGTATTGCCATCGGTCATATTATCAGCATCTCTTTCAAGAAGGGCATGAAAATCTTTGCCACATGCACGAAGTGCCGAGAACATCAGGCGTCTGCCGAGCACATAATAAATTGCTTGGGCCTCTCTATGGAGGATATTTATTCCAATCCCCTCCATGTGCTCCTCTTTCTTAGAGTCAACGGTCTTTTGGACGTTGTCTGACTTTGTCATAAACCGGAGGAAAGCAACAACAACATAAAGTTCAATGCAATACAATATTAAGATTCTTGCTTGCAAAAAGGGATTTTTCTTACGAGTTTAAAAAACAGAAATAGTGTTGTTACATAATATGGAAGAATTACCTGATATTTATCTTCTTAAGATATTTAGGCTTAGATTCAAAAATATCTCTTTTGATGTTTTCTAGCATGTTGTGAGACAAATCTACATAGCGCAATTTGTTCAACCTTCGGAATGCACCACTTTTTACTTCCTGAATAACATTCCGTGATAAAATGATTGTTGCTAGCAGGGGATGCTTATTCGTGAATGCACAAGCTTCGACACTCATCAGGTGGTTTTCTGATAGATCCAAACCTTCGAGTCGAGGCAGTTCTTCCAGGCCTTTCGTATTAATGCTACCCAGAGTGTCTTTGGTTAGAGACCCAGTCAGAGAGCAACCCATAGCGGTCAACCAAGCCAAGCTTTTTTCTTGACCATCGAATGGCTTTCCTTTCCAGATGAACTCTCCGGACAGAGCAGTATTCTTAATCTGGAACGAAAGAATGTTAGAATAATGATTTTTTTAGTATCATTTTATTTCAAATATGTTTCGATGCTGAAAAATCTTCGAAGGAATATTAAATTTTCCTGAAGAATACAGTGATACGTAATTATTACATAACGAACGAAAACAACAGATAATTGAAATCAAAGATATCAACATTTAGAATTTTTTTTTAGACTGAAAGTTTGCGGTGAAAATACCTTCAAGAGCAAAGATATTACAGATTCAGTATTAATTTAGACATTTAAAAAAATTGTACAACGTTAGATTTTACTTCTTAGCATTTTCTGATATACAGTTTGTTATTGTTTCTTTGCCTTCGTTGGTAAAAAGACATGAGTTTTTTCAAATGAAAAAAAACTAGTTCTTCAATAGGAAAAATAGTATGGAAAGAAGCAGGACCCGATTAAGACATCTGAATGCTCTAAGCACTTAAAAATTTTTTTATACTTCCATCCCGCATCCTTTTATCCCAATTTTTTCCATTCCTTGTCTTTCGATTCTGATTTAGTTGCACAATACATTCCACAGCAGAACGGCTATGGAAAATTTGTCTTATGGCCCTGTCTTTGAGTCCCTAAGCCCTTTTTTATGGTGCCCTTCCTCTTTCATGTCCTAAGCATGTGTTTATTTTGCTTAATGGTTAATCCAGCTTTGGAAAGAAAGTGGCCAACTTTAAAATAAGCAAGATTAAATCACAGCCTGGAGTTAAAGAAGGCTTTATACTTTTCAGAAGATGTACGTCAAAATTTCTGGAAATTTTCTGAAAAATTCCTTGAAGAGTACTTTTTTTTTGGGGGGGGGCTCATTACAGAAAAGGGATTTGTCAGCTTCTATGACATTGTAGAGACATTAGGTATTTTTGGAAGCAGGCAAGATGAAAAATTAGCAACGTCTTCGCCGGAGATCGAACAGCGGACATCTGGAATACCGGCCCAGCGTGCAGAATCACTACACCACGAAGGCACGCTAGGAAGGCAGAAGAAACGCCTTATTACATATCTATGCATGATAAATGAGTTCAAATGGCAGCTGTGCAAGTAAAATAAAAAGTGAAATAAATGCTTTTTTTCTTAAACAGTAAAAAGATCGTAGCTGAGTTATTTACTTTTTCTCGATCTTTTTCCTTTTAATTTCACAATTGTGTATCTGAGGTTTATTAAGTTTAAATTTATTCATATTTCTGATTACAGTATATCACTGAAGAATGGAAAATGCATCACTTCTCATGTGGAAAAGTATTATATAACTCTTGAAAGCATATCATTGAATTTTAACAGCTGATTAACTACAAACAAACTAAAACAAATTTAATTTGAAGGAAAAAGACCACATTTATACTTTTGTATGATCTATTTGCTCTGGGTTTTTGTTTTGTATGATCTATTTGCTCTGGGTTTTGTTATGGTCGCGATAGAGAAAAAGATGTTTATTGTCGCATTAGCGCCAACACACACTACAAATGAAACGTATCAGTTATCCGCAGCAGTTATAATGATTCCGTATAGTAGATGAGTCCGTTGCTGCAATATGGCTGCTTCTTTTGTATAACGCGATATTTAATTCAGCAGATTTTTCGGTTAATTAGTGGGTGGCAGCACCAGCCGGATGTTTGGTTTTGTTTCAGTGAAGTATATTGGAATGAAATGGCTATGTTTTTTATAAATATTTTTTCTGTAAATATTTTGTTCTTCTTAGTTTGTAAATAGCAATGCGAATGAACTTAATTTACAATTCTGATTCATTTACCTTTATATCTATATCTATATCTATCTATCTATCTATATATATATATATATATATATATATAATAAGCTTAAATTAAGCTCTGGGGTAAAACCGATGAATACCACAAATTTATTGACCTCCCGTCCAGATAACAGAAGATAACCAAAGAATGAAAAAAAGTTTTCTTACTCATTGTTCTGCAAGATTATTTTATATTAAATGTTTCACAGATTTTGCTTTCGATAAGTACCAGTTCTCATTTCGTGTTTATTGCTTATCGATAACTTCTGCTTTTAAAAAAGTGAATGTATTTTTAGTTAGACTATACTGTCTACATCAACACGAACAACATTATCTTTTACTTTATATGCTAGTATATGTATAATTTTATTGCATATTTTCATATAGTTTTTTTGTCTACTAATGGCATAAATATTGTATTATTAAAATCTTTAATCAAAATTAACGTTGGAAATGTGAGAAGGAGAAGAATAAATCATAATGGTGTTGCAGAAAAAAAAAGGCGTAGATTAATAGAAATTATCTTAAGAGATAATATATAATAATTTCGAGGAAAAAACGTTGATTACATTAACTCGTATTAAGGAACTGAAATCTATTATCTAAACTACGAAAGAAAGCTTCCCCTCAAATTCGAGAGTAGAATACGGGTTCGATTCTGGGCAAATGGGTTGGCTGGAAGTGCGTTTTCGTAGTTCTCCTCATGTGTAACATGAATATGAGCCAGCTTCCCTTAGAGAGTTCACCAACCAGTGGCCGAATGGGAAAGTCGCTGAAAACTGGTAGTTCGACCTGGGGTCGAATTCTGGAAACCGGGCTGACTGCATGGCCATTTTCATAGTTTTCCGCATATGCACAAGCCACGTTTCCTTAGTGTAGTAGAAGCCACGTATAATCTTGCCTATCCAAGTCATGCAGGAAGGCATCTCTCTCCGTAGGTACATAGCCTTCGCATGCTTAGCCCTAATGAAATAAGACGTACAATACTGCCGAGAGTAATAGATTCAAGATCGAAGTAGCCAGAAGGCAAACAAGAACCACTAAGGACTGCCAGTCGCCTAAAATAATTATAAGAAAGAGCATATAATGCTTTTAATGAATCCATCTCATTAATTTCATAAAAATATTGAATATTTCTAATTACACATAGCATGATTTTGATGCCTGTTTATTTAAATCACATTAAAAAGTAAAAAAAAAATATTTCTAAGAACTGTGTTTATTGCTTTTAAATCTCTTAGTTTATTACTCAATAACCTTTGAGATTAAATTTCAAAGTATCTTAGGATTTACTGAATGGCAACAAGCTGCACAAGGAAAATAAAATTTTATTTCCGACCGTGGCTACACATCGCTTTCGTAGAAAAGTGTTTGTTAATTAAAATTCAAAGATAAATATTTTACATTTTTCCGAATGGCAACAGTCTCGCTCACTGAATATAAAATATTTTATTTCGAACAGTGTTGCTACTGCTAGCTTTCAAATCGTAGAGTTTGTTAATAAAAAAATTCATTAAAGTTTTACGAAATATGAAATAAATAATAAAACAAATTCAAAATCGTAAAAAAGTACCGTTGTTTTTTTCACAGTGCATGCATGCAGAGGTTATTCATTGTTTAACTTATTTAAAAATGATACCGGGAGATAATATTTGGCGCCAACAATTTGAAAATCATACTCTGTTTATAGTGAACCAACGCAAAATTCCATTTCGAGACTAATAGCCTTTTTTGAAATAAATAAACTGTAGAAAGTCCTTTACGAAAGTACCCCTTCTCTTAGGCAGCATCCCTTCTCTTAAACAGACAGCCCTAGCGTCCTTTGTCATAATCAGATTTACCAAACCAAACTATCGACAGTAGATAATGCTACTAGAGCCGTTTCTGAATACGCTAATAATTTTAAACTGAAATTAAATTCAAACTGTAAAAGATGCTGAAAAGAAAACTATAATGAATTTAGAAATTAATTAATATTTATCAGCAGAGAGGATAATTAATTCGCAATCCAATTTTTTTTTAACTTGATACAAAATATCGAAAATGACAGTGAAAGATTATGGCTTTTTTATTCGAAATATTGAATAAAGCCTTAAAAAATCATTTAGAAAACGAAAATCCATGATGAATGCCTACCAATGATGAAATGAGTAGAACCGCTCAAGGCCAAGGGTTAAGATCTCCATGAAACAGCTTGACGTTGTGAGATTTTCTTTATTTTTCTCCAAGTGAAATGTAAAATACGAATGAATTTCAAATCCTCCACGAAGGCATCCTTCCCTTAGGCAGTTAAATCATGTGCTTAGCCAATTAAATTAATTTAAACTCGCTTAATCATCATAGACAGTAAAATCAAACAGACGTTGGAAAATAATATGATTTGTTTCCTATCATTTTGATTAATAATTATCAATTCATTTGACTTAAATTTATTTCTTTACTTGCGTATTCACACTATTAATTAGGACAGAATTCATAGTTAAAAGTTTTAAGAAGAATCCTTGATGGAAAACATTTAACGAATGACTATAAAGACTAAAAATAAGAAATTCTGAAAAATAATTCAAATTTACCTGAAAATGTTTTACCCTAACGTGCTGGAGCCAGTGATAGGGTAAATTCACAATTGGCTGTTCTTTCTCAGATGGGACATTCAACACTGTCAGCCTGTCTACCGATTTCCTGTAAAGTCTTGAAACAACTTCTTCCAAACTTGATCGACTGCGTGTCACTAAGTTGCACTCCACAATGGTATGATGGTAATAAAAGCGCTTTTCTGGTGCAGTCGTTGGTGCAATCGTTGGTGCACCTGCGCTTTGATTAGACCCACTGAATCCAACATACTCATTCTCACAGGTGCAAAAAGTCGTCAGTTCATATGGACATATATCACTAGCAGAAGTGAAAGGAGTCGAGCAACATATCAGCAGACAAATACCTTTTGGAAAACAAACTATTAGAATGTAAAATAAATGGAAGAAAAATATAGCTTACTAGAGAATTCTGTGACAAATTAGAAAGCTACTTTTACCAATAATATAAGATTAATGTTAAATTTTCTATTAATTCTTAATGACCGAATTTATAGTAAAAATTATGCCGAATTTATGCTACCTCATGAAATTGGCGGGATAGCTCCAAGCTAGTGACGAGCTTAAAGACGAATTTTGTCTCCAAATTTGACGAGAAATTTCGTCAGTCGTGACAACCATTTGAGACATTTTGGTTCGAACCCTGTATAACTGTTAAAAGTCTAATTCCTATGTAACTGTAACTGCTTCCAGCCTTATATGTAGCTATAACTGTATATGTCTTCCTACAATTTCGAGAAATCGAGGATACTGGAAATTTCTTGGCGGACGGGGGAAATGATACAAAACCAGAGAAAGCATCGGTTCTCAGTTCAATTCAGAGTTGAGTTTAGAGTTTAGCTCAGAGTATTGAGAGCACTGACACACAACTGTAATAAGAGATTCAATACAAATATCAATATAGATCAGGAATGAATTCTAGATGGTACTGGTAATATCATGTATAATATAAATCATATCATTTTTAACTCATTTTTATGGTTAAAAGAAATAAATGGGGGAAAAAAGGCAATTATATCATTTTTAGATGTCAAAAAGAAAGGAGAAAGGGAAATTTGAACTTTTAAAACCAAAATAGGAATGAAAAATTTTAGAACAGTAAGAGAAAAAGCTTGAAAATGTCTTGTTGAATTTAGAAACAAGTTCAGTATTACATCGATTTTTATTACAGGGCAAAAATGTGGGATAATTAACAAAGTTGGTTAAGACAGATTACACTGGATTGAATTAGTTCATTATGGCAAAGCGCATTAAATCTCTGCATGCGAGATAGGATTCCTTCTTGCAGTGCCGAACCTCAGTCGAGCGATTCTTAACGAGATGGCTAACGAGTATTCTAACGAGTATTCTTAACGAGTATTCTAACGAGATGGCTGCATGAGAGTTTTCGTGTTTTATTTTACGTAAAGCGTAAATACTAACCAGACTTAAAATGTCCCGTACGAACACACATTTCTCTTTAGGCGGACAGTTCTTGAGTATTTTGCCATAATCCAATCGAATCTTTCTCGGAGAACTTTTTAAAGGAAATTAGACCATATTTACTTTATACAAGAAGAAAAAGCACTAAGCCTTTACAATAAGATTAATAATAGCAACAAAAATGAGACATATATACAGCGTTTTTGTGGACTCGATGAAAAAATATTAATAAAATTAGTTTACCCAGTTTGTAGATCGTCTTCATCCTGCTTCTTTTTATCGCTGTCCGTTGAAGGATGATTTTTTAAGTGATCAAGGACCATTACAGTAAACGGCTGAATCAAGTTTAAATAAACTCTTTAATCTCATCTTCTTGCCATAATAATAGATTGTAGATAACACACTCTAACTGATAATTTTGTAGAAGGGAAACTTCTTTAGCAGCTGAAAAATACGTTATGGAAAACACTTTACCGTAATGAACTTATCCTGTCTGTTGTCCAGAAGTTAGTTGAATTTTCGTATAGTAATATTCATTTACAGAGTGAAACTATTATGACTGCTGCACTGGCTGCACATTTTTAAGTAATTAATTTATTTATAATGGTTGTGACAGATGCATCAAGTAGTAAAGATAAGTTTACACACGTCTCATGTTTAATTATTAGATAATAGCTATCTACTTAGCTCAATTAGTAAGCTACTTAGTCGCGAGAAAATAAGTCCTGGATTGTCAGCAGGTGATCAAATCTATACACTAGCTACCATTTAAATTAGGGCCTTTAAAAGATAAAAAATTCTTTCATCGTCATCTTGTTGGGCTAGGATACATTTCGCAGTAAATAACAGTAGGGAAAGGGACCAATACAACTTCGCACATCAATTAGTCAAGGTCGAATTATGAGAGTCTCAAGATGAAATTAGTCTGGAATGTTAATGGCTGCGGGAAGTGCGTTTGATAAACACATGCTCTCTGCGTAAGTAGTATGGGGGATGATCAACGAAGAATAATATTTCAAAACACGTTTTACCACCTAAACTCTTTAATGTTTATAATTAAAAAAAAAACTCTCTTTTTAACCAATGTGGCATTATTTTAAAAACAATACGTCTGACAGTGACATTAGCATTGTCACTGGCTTGAATTCCCCAAGATTCAGTACAAATGTATATTGTTCGACACAGTTTCCGGTAAAATAGTTTCCTTTCAAAGTTTTCATTTTTCCAGGCCTTAATTCCGAATATTAAAACTGAACGCTCACAGATTACAAGAAGAAACACTGATAGAGATAATAAGACTAAAAAAAAGCCCCTAAAACAGAAAAATTAATTTAGAAAATCTGATGTTGATACCACATGACTTTCTTGCACGGCCTTTTAAATTATACACACTTTTTGCTGCACTTCATTTAAACCAGTTTCCTCCAATTATTCTAAATTAACCAATCCCTCAAGGTAATCTGAAATATATACTTATGATATTTCCGATTGCAATAAAAAAGGAAAGTGCACAACTAAATGTTATAGCAGTCTCATATACAAAATTTCAAAGTTCTACGGTTAATCCTTTTTGAGTTATGCGAGATACACGCGTACGTACCTACAGATGTCCCAAAAAAGTTCAGTATGAATGCATTTTACAATTCGTTTCGGAATAGAGGCTTTTATTCTGCCCATACGTAAAGACATCACGCAAAAAATAGTCAAAATGCATTCAGAAACTGTCAAAATGGATGTTTTCGTTGAAATTTTCAAACGAAATTTTTTCGCGATTACAGTACTTTCTTTTCTTTGTACAGGAAAGTAAAAGATAAGAAATTTGTATTTGAATTCATTACCTTTATTTTACCTTCAAATCAATGAAGTGGAAAGGAAATGTATTTACAAACCTTGGCATCCGAATTCGAAGAAATGGCAATATTTTTAATATCATTCCATTTTTTGATGTAACTAGAATTTATCCAATTTTCTTTATCCATTTATTTTCGGATGCGTCTTTCTTTATATTTTACTCAAGATGAAATTCAACCTTAAACTTACTGTAAAATTTTACATTAGGTTTAAAAAATTGCTAATGGAAAAACATTAGTTTGCTGTTAAAAATTAAATTTAGATTTGTGTCACCGGAAACATGAGATGATAAATGTACAAAACCTTTCTTCAGGTACCATTATAGAGAACATTAAATTTACGGAACATGAAACTCGAAAAATCACCTGAACTCTCGTCGAGAAACAAACCACGAAACTTTTTTTTTTTTTTTTTTCTTACAGATTCACTAGCCATTTTTAGGCTTTCGCCGAGAGGATCCGGGCGGCAAAACCAAGACACTTCCAAGTAGTAAATAGATATGCTACACTGGTTACGCTATATAGGAAGAATGCTACTAATGCATCCAACTCTCAACAGTTTTCTCTTTTTTAATTTTAGGTCACGTGCACACACACACATATATATATATATATAAGTAGCAAGACAACTTGAATTAGAGAGACCTTAGTGGTCAAGAATTTTGCGCATTGAACTGCAAAAATTTTTAATTTAACTTTTAAACATTCCTCTTACTAATGCTATCCGCTAGCTAAAGCTAATGCTAATGCTATCCGGCTCAAACCTCGAGTTGAGTTATTTACCATATATTGCACTTTTTTTGCACATATTTACTGTGTATTTGAAATTTATTTAATTTTTACTAGAGGTTTTTAAAATTCTTTGTACGTTAAAATTCCTTTATTTTTTATCACCCATTTTTGATTTTGATGTCATCTCGATTTGTAATTTTTACCTTTAGTTTTTACGAGATAGCTTTTACGACTTTAATATTGTTTCTAATTGTGACATGATTTTACTTTTTTGCTAAGGAACAATAGTATCAAATGTATTTTTTTAGCATTAGCTTTTAAACATTCCTCTTACTTCTATATATATATACAGAGCCGGCGGAAGCGGGCCCGCAAGGCCTTCTTTGCAGGCGGACGCCGACCAAGGAAAGGGCGCCGACCAACGAACGACACAGAGCATTTTTTTTTTTTTTTTTTTTTTTTTTTAATGCAAAAGAATGTGCATTTATCGGGGAATGTTCCTTGAATGCTTACACAGGACAGGGACCATGGGAGTTGCGCCCCCTCCCAACACCTCCTAACAGAAGGTATTGCCCCTCCCCACCTTTCCCCTCCAGCTCATCCATCAATGCCTTGTCACCCATCCGTCAATCGTCAGGGATATTCCATTTTCGTATTTACTGAGTCACTGAGTGGTTGGCGAAGAAAATTTTCGATGCACAATAACCTTACTACTATTGGAAAAGAAAAGTCCATTTGATGAAGTACGTTCTTATTTTATTTTACTTAATATAATTTCTATTTATCCTTATTTTATCGTTTATATTATATTTTTATTTAAAATGTATACAGTGAAATACGGGTTTTTTTTTCTTGAAAATTTCTGTGAGGACGGGAAGGGGGGAACGGATTAGCCCTTTCTATCAGGGAAAATTTGCCATTTTGCCATATGTAAGAATGAACACAGGCACCAACTTTTCATTTTCTTCACGGGAGTTGGAGGGGAGGGCAAGATTTGCATGGACGAAAACGCAAAACTCTATAGAGCAGTGCTTCTCAACCTTTTTTTAGTCACCGGTAAAACCTACGAAAAAAATTTCGCGGACCAGTGTGTTTTTTCCCTCCCCCCCAAAAAAACTTTACAAAGTATTCAAGAATTACTACATAAGTGAGTTGTAATATTATTACCATTTGCCTACAATCATATTTAAATATATGTGCCTTTCGTTTCCTTCTTACTCATCCTGGTTATTGATTTTTAATATACCTATAGTTAAAGAAATAGTAGTTATAGCACAGTATTAAACTCCATGGTTATTAAAAACTTACGCTGATGTATAGTTTTCAGTTGTCCAAACACGCAGAAGAATGTAAGCAAGATAAAAACTGAAACCTACCCTAAGACGCCTTAAACAATACGATAGATATTCATCGTTCAAGTAATCAGCAATACTCGAGGCAGACAGGAGCACACTAGCTGGTGTACTAAGTGTACGGCACGGCAATTTATAAAAGGCGATTAGGTACCTAGTTGCCAGGTTGTTATATTTTTATCACCGATCATATTATTTTATAAACTAGTAAGCTATTGTTATTGTAATGTGGCTGCAATACCGGTAATTTCGGTTTTCGACAGATAGCTGGATATTTCGCTATCTGGACACTTGTATAGAGAGTTTATTTTCTATTTCGGGGGGGGGGGGAGGAGGTTGCCGGTGTTTATAGTCTAAGTCCAAATTCTCAACATTTATACAATTTATTTAATGACTAGACTCCCCAATTAAGCATCTTGGTGTGTTCGCGCCATGGACCTTATAAGAAATAGACAAACCCAAACGGGTTTTCTCCCTCGTCTGAGGCCCTGCTGGCTGTCACCTTGATCACATCCGGAGGAGTAGGGACGACTTGCAGAAATTTAACATTGGTTGCCTATTGCAGCGTGTATAATTGTCAAGAAAAAGCTGGTTGTGTAGCGCCTCATTTCACAAATTAGAATTTCTACATACTTTTATTTTTGAAATTGAGATTGATTTTTAAAAATTTAGCATATTTATCAAGCATAATTAACGTTCCAAATAATTATAAAGCTATTGCATGGTTTCAGGGCTGGATATTTTTTTAGCATTTCCTATGTTGTAAGGAAATTTGTAACTACTTCCTTTAGAAAAACATATTTTAAATCTGAACTAATAGAAAATTTCAAACAAGCAATTTTCTCTTGCAATTTTTATGCTTTTATTGATGTAAATAAGTAAAAAGTACTAAAATATTTAAAAACGAATTTTTGAAAGTTTTGTTTAAAATTCTAAATTGTGCTGCTTTTTTTAAATTATAGATGAGTATTATAGCATAATTTCTATAAAGGAATTTTATTTCAATTATATTTCATAATACATCACAGTGATAAACACTTTTGACTCCTTAAAAGTTTTTTATACATTTAATTCTAATATTAAAATTGTATTTAACCGTACTAATTAATTTTGCTTGTATTTTATAGCGATTATTTTGTAAAATTTATTTTTAGTTCTGTATAACATTTTTTTTTATTTACTGTTAATTTAATTTGTTAGCCCAAAGCGGTGGTAGCTTAGAAAGGCTGTTAGTTTCGAAGCGGAATTTTGCGCTGTTTTACTATAAGTGTCCGTGTCTCCTTGCAAATTGTTGTTACCAAATATTATCGCCCTGTATTATATGTAAAGAAATTAAATAATGAAGAATCTGCATGAATACATGTATGTTTCTTGCACTGTGACAAAAACGACAGTATCTAGAGCCATCAAATTTTGAATAATGTAATCCTCCACCCCATGGGCAT